CCACAGGATCGACCTCGGACTCGACCCTCTTCAGGGGTTACCGGTCGCCACAAAGCCCAAAATCCAACAACCTTCATGGGAATTATGGGCAAGAGACATTGTAAGGAACCCTGAGAAGGCTGAAAAGGTAGGTTTTGTTCTGGCTACAGAAAGGGTTTAGGGGTTCAAAATACCCAGGGCTCCCGCAGAGCCTGTTGATGGGGCTAGCTTTAGGGTCTAGGTGGGCTTAGGGATCAGAAGGTGCACAGGTGTGCTTAGGGAATATAAGGTGCAGGGCTCAATGGATCCTTCAAGTGGCCGCCGCCACCTCTTCAGCGGCTGCAGGAGTTTATGTCATCTTCGTGCCCTTGTGTGTTGGTTGTTCTTGGCTTTGGGGCGGCCCTGAGATTCAGGGCCCCTTCTTAGGGGTTGGTGGTTCAAGAAGTAGAGTTTACAGCATGGGGTTGATATCCTCTAAAACCTCATACCTTCAAAGGATACCTTATGTATGAGGCACAGCTCGAGGTACTATGTTTTGGGGTCGCAGAGTTAGTGAAGGGGGCTGGAGGTGTGGGGTTCAAGGTTTCAGGTGGAGTGCATGAGATCTCAACCCACGTCTTGCAGGTCTCAGGACTACTTGGAAGGGCAGGGGACTTAGTAAGTAGGTTATAAGTAGGTTTATAATTGGGGTAACTCCATTTAGGGTACTTATAACTCTACTTATAACCTACTTACTAAGTCCCTTGCCCTTCCAAGTGTGATTGTGGAGTGGCAGTAATTATCTCAATCCGGCCGCGATGAAAAGAAGTCCATGGTCGTTCCGAATTCGGTTAGCAGGCTGAGCCGCTATGTCTCCACGAAAGAACTACGGTCTCGGGTTTCAGGTCGCGAGAGAAATGCCAACGCACAGTTAACCACACTTCCTTGCGCAATATCACAAGCACACAAGAGCATGCATGCAAGAACCTCATAAACCCAAAGCTCTAAACAAGTCTAAGACCTCAACCCTAAAACCTAAACCCCCCTTAGCGCCAGCAAACAGAAGGGCCGTCGCACGTTTCTGCGGGTTCTATCAGAGTGTCTCGAACAGTGCAGGGACCTTCGCGCAGATTTATGCTCCGCAGAAAATGGCTGCTCGCAACGGTTCTGCTCAGGAGGGAAAGGCGATTATCAGTGTCAAGCTAGGGCTTGGGGCTTAGCCTTGAAAGGATTGAATACGGTTTTGCCAGGAGCTTTTACAGTTGTAGAGGAGAACTCACTCAGAGCTTCTTCCGTGTATGTATATATATATATATATATATTTATTTTTATTCATATTTATGTGTGTATATATATATACACACACGGCACGATATGGTGTTCCAAACCCATCCTCGCATACTGCTAACCATCTCGATTCAATACCTCAGCAGCTCGGCATTAGAACTGCATCCGTACTTGGAGTCATTTGTACTGGTACCCGTTTTCGTGCCGCTATAATAACAATACTATCATATATGACTGGCTCCCTATATTGCACCCAGGCGATCCCGATGCCTAAACCCTGTTCACCCCGTAGCCGCACGGTGGAATTACCGCCGTGAAGCTGTTAGGGCTAATAGAGTTTAGGTTCAGAGGCGATGTTTAAGGTAGGTTTGATGCGGGCCGTGGACGATTGACAATTTGTGTTGAGGGTAGAGAGAATGCACACTTTTGATTGATAAACCCCTTCGTTCAGGGCCTTACTTATCGGATCCCTACTAGACCCCTGCAAAGGGGAGGGCGTTTAATTACTAATCAGGAGTCGACATTGTGGGGGTTTGGGCAGCATTCTATATTTTCAACTTGCAGTTGAGATGGTTTGGGGCTTGAAGCTGTCACGTCACTGGTCTAAGCGTCTAGACCCTGAGCCCTTAACTCCGTAACCGTGGTAGTGACAATCTGGTTCCTCGTGCCCGAGGGATCGCTTCGCTGTCAACTGCTTTCACAAGGTGTTGACTTCCATAGTAGGGCTTAGACTTGAGATCGTTATTGGTTGTAAAACTTTGTGTGTGGGGGGTGCAGGTTGTAATTAGCGCACAGAAATACTCGAGTAAGTCAGGAAGCCAGCAACGGAGCAGTTCAGTGTTGCAGTATGCACAGCTGTGTGCCTTCGTATGTGCATCTATCACGTATCTGTGTTGTGAGTTTGTACAGATTGACTACGAGGGACACAGGATTCTACAGAGGCGTCGCTGGATGACTGTAGGGACCCCCATTCAGGCAGACTGCCCTGAATGAAAGGTTCATACGGCTTAGCAATTAGTGCTGTAAACAAAGCAGCCTCGAATTCTAATACTGTTTGTACACCCCGCTTAAGGAACTTATCTGTACTTACTATGTCCCTTGAACCTCCAAGTATGGCTTTGTTAGTTCTCACAGTGACTTACACATGCACCGATTCGAGGCACCGGCTCGTATTCAGTTGAAACCATGAACTCCAGAGCGTATGGCCCGGAACCTGAACCCAAAAAATCCCAGAGCCGTGAAAGCCCTAAACCCTGAAAAGCCTGACCCCCGCCTAAGCTCGTATGCCCCCTTGTGGTAACCGATATCGTAAGCCTTGTCGTAATCCTTGAAGTGTGCCATAGAGCAAGCATAAGACATGGCCCCGTGCGACACCTTAAACCAACTTGTTAAGTATCCTACAAACCCACAATGTTGGTCCGCCATGGCAGTGGTCGTTTGTGGACCTTCCGAAGCAGCCCTCGGGTACTGTTTTAATTTGTTTTTGTTGGGCGATACTTCCTTGGAAAGGCATCTCCAAAAATTCCGTCTAGACTAGAGCCTTACGAAACAGCTCCGAACCTCTCAACCCTCAACCCAAACCTCTAAACCCTATTCTCAACCCTAAACCTGGAAACCCAGAACCCTAAAGCCACAAGCCCTAAACCCAAGCCGAAGCCCTAAGGCCTTGAAGCCAAAATCCGAGACCCTAAAACCCCAAAGCCCTAAACCCGATACCCTAAACCCGAACCCAAAATAGCCCTTATAGTAGCCCTTATAGACCCCCTTTAAAGGGAACCCAAAGCCCCTGAGCCCTTGAGGCCCCCAAACCCGTCTGACCCTGTATTCCTCAGGTACGGCCCCCAAACCCAAACCTTACGAGTTCTTGATCCCTATACCCTAAACCTTAAAGAAATCCTTAAACCCTCAACATTACAGATGCAAAGAAATATCTCAAGACTTGGCGTTCTTCTGGTTGGCTCTTTAGACTTTAACTTTTGGGGTTTCTATATGAACTATAGTAAGGAGGCTAAAAGTTTAACTTTTAGGAGGGGTTCAGAAGTCAGCCAAGATTCATAATATAGATATAGTAGGACCTTAATAGTAGCCCTATTATGGACTCTTACTGTATGGGGGCCGTACCTAATGTATTCCCTAAACGCGAAACCAAAACTCATAAAACCCTAAACCCTTTTCCATAAACTGACACTTGAAACCAGTTACTTGGAGGTTCATGGGACTTGGTAACTGGGGTTATAAATAAGGTAACTATACTTATAATTACTTCTAACCCCAGTTAAGGTACTTATAAGTGTACTTGCTAAGTCCCATGAGCCTCCAAGTACCCTTGTAGTATTGTACCACTTTACGGCATCCTAAAAGCTGAACCCTAAACCCTAAATCCTAAGGGCAGTCGAGCTCCAGCTGTTCGTCTGCTCCCGGTCTCGGACAGACGCCGAAGACGCGCGCCGGGGCTGTGGAGCTGTGACTTTGGAGGAAAATGATGGGTTTGGGATCAAGTTAAGATTTAGGGTTTAGGCGGGTTTAAGTTTGAGATTCAGGGTTCGGGGTTATGCGGTTTGAAGTGTAGGGCTTTAGGGGTTTAGGGTTTAGTGTTCGGTAGAAATATCTGGAGGGTTCTATGGAGCTTCTGTGATGTTCACAGGGTCCTTAGATGGCTTTAACTCCACGAGCTTTTGTTTGCTTAAGGGCTTTTTGTGTTATACAGGGTGTTGCACGGTTGCACGGGGCGGTGCAGCGTTCTGTGAGGGTTTCCTTGTGGCTTGAAAATGGTTACACGGTGTTCTGTAAAGGGGTGGTTGTCAAAATTATGGTCCCTTTTTGGTCCCTATTATAATACGGCACCTATTATTTAGGGTACCCACAAAAAGAACCATAATTTTGGCAACTACCCAAAGGTTTTACGATCAAGGTTGTCCAGGATCCAAAACTGTGGACTGGCGCAGAGGCTTTACAAGGTTGTACATGGGGCTTGGGTTGGGGCCTCAGGGGGCTTGGGTTTGGGGTTTAGGGGTTTAGGGTTTAGGGTTTAGGGTTTGGGGTTTGGGGCTTAGGATTGGGAGTTTCCGAAAATAGGGGATCCTAATATGGCACAGTAAATCGGATTAGAAGGACCTCAAAATCTGGCACACCCCCCAATTTTCGGAAACTCCCACATTGAGAAGGTGTCAACTCGGGTTCATGGAGGTTTAGAGTTTAGGCCTATGGGCTGAGGCGCCAAGTAGGGCTTAAGGTAGAAGCCAGAAAGTTGGAATATGATTATCCTCACCCTTCTATGGTGAATTATAGATTATAGGGTATCCTGCCATGAAACCATATTCCAACTTTCTGGAGTTCCCTGTATAACCCAGGACTACGGTTGATGATATCAGTATCAATCCTGCACTACCCGTAATAAGGAATATAATTCCCGCAGTTTAGTTAGGGTCCCTAAGCTAATGCAGGATTTATATCATCAGCCGGAAGTCCAATGATTCGTCTTGCTGTAATGTTCACACGAAGGTTCGGAGTAGTTAGCCTTTACTCTGCGGAGGGGTCCTTGCTAGTTGTTCAGGTTGGTATATGAAATGAAGTCCTGTATTTGCGACATTTGTTGTTGTTCGGTATGGCTGTTTTTGGTGAACTAAACCCCTAAACCCTAAACCCTAAACCCTAAACTCTAAACCCATGGATGTTCGAGGTATGACCGATGGGCTGCCAGCTACGATGGCACCGTTTCTCTGTGGGACTACCGAGCCCCTGCTCGGGTGGCTGCGATGCTACGGGGCTGCAACTAGGTTGGAATTTGGGACATTTTTTGTCTTCCTTATTTGGGTTTATAAGGGGCCCTATATATTAATAATTTTTCAGGGTGTTTTGAAGGCCAACCCAGGCAACGCTACGATGGCACATGCTTCACTGCCGGTGCTCGATGCAGGTTGTGGCACTGGCCTGAGTGGGGAGGCTTTGGCAGCAGCTGGATTCAGAGAACTGGTGGGTGTGGACGTCAGCAGTGAGATGTTGAGGCTTTGCGAAGCAAAGAGGCTCTACAGCTCTATTTCCTGCTGGGACTTGGAGGGCTCGCAGGGACCTCTGCCATTTGCCGACGACAGCTTCTCGGCGGTGGTATGTGCTGGTGTCCTGTCATATGTCCAGCGGTTTGACAAGGTCTACAAAGAATGGTGCAGGGTGGTCGCCCCAGGTGGCCATGTCATTTTCACACACCGTGATACGCTTTGGGATGCCAACGTGCACTCGTGCCGGTCTGCGGCAGCATCACTCCAGAAGTGGCGCCTAGTTCAGAGCTCAACGCCCGAGGCCTACATGCCTCGAACGCCAGAACCTCGGGAAAATGCAAAGAAGGTCCGATATCTGGTTTTCCAGTGCTTCTAGGCCACGAGAAGCCGTGGAAACGGAGAACTCCATTGGCGACTACTAGTCTAAGGCGTCTTGAGCGATCAAAGGCACTGGAGTTTCTCCGGCGAGGGTTCGTCAAAGCATGCGATGGTCGCCCCTCGTAGTTACTCGCTATACAACACGGCCGCTCGCCAGCATTAAATATCACTAAATGGGAGTTTCCGAAACTAGGGGACCCTAATGTAGTACCCTAAATAGTAAGACCCGTATTGTAAGGAGCCCCCAATAAGGTACCCCAAATTTTCGGAAACTCCTATCCCTTACTGTCACGACGAAGACCAGATGCGGGCCTCTATTGGATACCAGTGTTGCGACTAAAGTTTGACTAAAGAGACCACCAACACAGTGACGAGGAATACGGCGAGGACGACAACGATGCCATCGACGACGGACGAAGAAGCAGAAGCAACAACTAACAAGAAGGGTGCCAGAGAGAACACGAAGCTCCTTCGTTGAGAGTGGAAAAGACGAATGCCAGCCTACACCATGCTGTGTCCCCGATTTATCTTGTTGGCTTATGTTCTGGAGGAGTGTCATTTCATTCAGGTTTTATGGCCCACACCTTCCAATATCCCTTGATTTAGTAAAATCCGATTGAAGGCATGTTCCTGAACTAAGGGATATTCGAAGATTTCAAGGGCTCCGTTGGGTGCCTCGCTCCCGCTCAAGATGGCTCGGAAAAGTATTGGATTTCGAATTCAGGTTTAGGCTCCGGCCCCGAGATTGCCGTTACAAGGTGGAGGGTTTAGGGTTTTAGGGTTTAGGGTTTTAGGGTTTAGGGTTTAGGGTTTCAGGGTTTCAGGGTTTAGGGTTTTAGGGTTTTAGGGTTAGGGTTTAGGGTTTTCTGGTTTAGGGCTTTAGGGTTTAGGGTTTTAGGGTGTAGGGTTTAGGGTTATAAGGTGAATCAAGCTGCTCTAGTAGGTTTGCAGGATTTAAGGCTGCGTTTATATGCCAGTAAAGGGCAGGGATTCTGGTTTCAGTCACAAGCAGCCAACCCTAAACCCTAAATACTGAACCCTAACCTTTCACCCGTGTATGCCCAAACCTTCCAATATCCCTTGAATAGTGAGTATACCTTAAACAATCGCATAATCCCTTATGATTTATGGCATACTCCTTTTTTGAGAGATTTTGGAGGGTCTGAGTTCGTGGCTTCGGCACTAGGCGCAAGACCCAACCCCTGCAGTGCAAACCTCTCGAGAGCGAGCTGTATGTGCCCCAAACCCTTATGGGGGTTTCCGAAAATAGGGGACCCTTCTCAAGCACTCTAAATAGTGGGATCCTTGTTATAAGGACCCCCCCTGTTTTCGGAAACTCCCTTATCCAGCAACCCTGGTAGGGGGTACTTAGAGGTTCATGGGACTTAGTAACTACGGTTATAATTAAGGTAACTATGCTTATAACTAGTTATATCTCCAGTTAAGGTACTTATCGCTGTAGTTGCTAAGTCCCATGAACCTCCAAGTAGGGCTTAGCGTTTGTGAGGTTTAAACATGTGGGTCCGTTTGTCAAGTGTGCTGATGCTGAGCATTCGGCAGCCGCTAAGTGCCCTCGGTTTTCCGTAATGTAGGGGCCTCAATAATTAACTATACCATTTTGTTGGGGGCCCCCTATTATGGTTATAGTATAATATACCCCCGAACCCTATTCCAATTATTGTGGCGCCGATAGTAAACCTCACTACAACTCGCAGCCTCCCAGGCTGCAGAAACCTTCAGTGGGCACCTCTAGGTAGCTCTCTAAAATCGCTACCCAGAAGCAGGCGGCGCCCTTAAAAGAAGGAGTCTACTTAGAGGTTCATGGGACTTAGTAACTAGGGGTATAATTAAGGTAACTATACTGATAATTACTTCTAACCCCAATTAAGGTACTTATAACTGTACTTGCTAAGTCCCATGAACCTCCAAGTAAAAGGAACCCGCATCGAGAGGACTTCCCGACTAAAGGTTCTTGTTGTTCCTAAGGCGATCTCATCTTAGGGGTACTTAGAAATGAATTTTAATCTTTGGTTATTATAATCCCTAAGACACAGCTAAAATTATAATTTTTGCTAGGGTTCTAACTTCAGTATAGTCATAAGGACCTTATGAAGGCTTTTGCACCCAAATGCCGTAAGCCTACATAAAGGTTCATGGAACTTTGTACGTAGGGTTAAGGTAACTAAAGTCTTTTTTACTAAAGCCACACTTTAGGTGTTTTTGAAAGATACAACTGTACTGGCTAAGCTAGGGGCATCTAGAATCTAGTTGGGGTGAAAGTGTTCCGGCGTCGTACTGTCTTTTGGCCGGACATGGCTTCTGGACAAGACGACCCCCGGGCCTATTAGCACTGACTCTCCGAAACCATGTGATAGTCCCACTTCCGACACATCGCGCGTGCAGCTTGGCCAATCGAAACTGGTTGGCCGTCCAAGTTTGTTCAGGGTTATTTTTTCATAGTTTGGTTCGTGGTGTCGATAGCTTAGGTTGGTTCAAAGACAAGATTTGACCTCAGATTTCATGTTATGTGATTGAGGCCCTGTGGGGACGGCGAGTCTAGCTGTGATGCTTTACATAAGGCGGTGCTTTCGTCAGCAATCCCTACTTCCCATCATATCGACACATCTCCTTTGGAGTTTGGGAAGTATTGTTGGCTACTAGTCTTAGTACTTCACGGGTTTGCAGATGCTCAATCCTAAAACCCTAAGCCCCGAGCCCCGAAACGCGAAACCCTGAAACCTGCTCAAATTCCTTGAGACCGTATCTACTGTAGCCTACTAGCATAAAACTACTTTATTCCAAAGCTCTTGCAGCCCTAAACACAGTAAACCCTAAACCTTACGAACATCTCGTTGAAGGTTCATGGGACTTAGTAACTAGGGTTATCAAATGCTCAAATCAAGGTAACAAAACTTGTAACTACTTAAGTTTATCCCACTCTTTGACCCCTTACAGATCCCTTATAGTGGCCCTTTTGGTTGCCCTTATAGCCCCATGTGAATCCCCCACTCTTACTTAAGTACTCTTTAAAGCTTTATAGTAGGTACTTAAGCCTTAAAGGGGTCCCTATATAGGTACTTCAAGGCAAAAGTATATTCTATATGGGTACATGGAGCCTTAGGGTAAGTACTCCTTAAAGCCATGGGCGCCTCCGGCAGTCAGCCAGCTGAGTCAACTTCTCTTCCTAGCGCCGCACGCCGCTGGGAGAGCATTGGACTTCGGAGGGTGCATCTTAGGGGCCTCAAAAAGCACACAGGCATAAGCATTGGGGATATCCCTACCTTATTGGGCTTCATTATAAGGGGGTTTATGTGGGATATCCCTATCCTTCTTTTTGCTTATGTGCTTTTTTGGGGCCCTAGTATCAGTTTCAGGGTGACGGGCTTTAGGCTTAGATAGTGAACGGGGGAACTTGAAACCTTTTGGCCCCATGTATTAGCTCTATCTTGGAAAGTGCGACTTTTTGGGGCCCGGTTGTTGAAGAAGAGAGCAGGGGTTTAGGGTTAAGGGGTTTAGGTTTTCGGAGGTCGCCAGCGCATTTTCGTGTCTTCATTATGAGAATACAGAAGTTGCTGCTATGCCTTCGGGGCGAAGGGGCGTGCTACAGGGGCCTAAATAATTAGCATAGGGTTTTGGCATATTTTAGCATAGCGTATATCTACAACATGATGCGTTCGGGGTCTAGGGCTTTAGGGTGTATAGGGCTTTGAGTTTGAGGGTTGACGGTGCAGGGCTGCCTAAGTTTCTACTATGTGGGTACATGGAGGAGTTTATGGTATCCCTAAGGGAGGGGGGTCCAAGGGGGTACATAGCCTAGTGATCCCTAATTCTCCCTAGTACTCCCTAAGGTTCCCTTAGAGACCCCTAAGAAACCCTTGTACTCTCCCCACTTGAACCACCCTCCCTTAAGGATCCTACAAGGGAGCCTCAGGGAACGAGGTTTGGCCTCCCTCGGGCGCCTCGTGGGGTCCAGCCTGAGGGCTACAGGTCACTTGGAGGGTCGGGGGACTTAGTAAAGAGCTCCATAACGGGCTCCTTCAAGGGATCTATAAAGTTCCTTAAAGGGATCTTTGGGGTTTAGGGTTTAGGGTCTACTTGGAGGGTCGGGGGACTTAGTAAGTAGTTACTTTATAGGTTTATAAGTATCATAACCCCAATTAGGCTCCCTGTTAGGGTACTTATAAGTCTACTTATTACCTACTTACTAAGTTCCCCGACCCTCCAAGCAGGCAGCAGCCCATCTTTGTCTGTGTCCCGGTGGTCCTTTACTGGTCTGCAGGAAACTTCCAGGGATATCGATTGCTGCTAGATCTTGCAGCAGTCTCAGCTGCAAAACGTGACTCGGAACGTGTCAAGACCTGGATCTCGGAATGGAGCAAGTACTCAGAAGTTAGTCTTCCTCAACTCGCTCACCAATCTGGTGTAATTCGGGATGCATGCCAAGCATCATCGAACTGTTGAGGGTTCAGTGCAGGAGTATGAGATAGTGCCCTGAAAACCCTGAACACCAAAACCCCCCGAGCTCCTAGGATTTGAGCCGCGGTACCAAGTATCAGGCCGCACCCCAAACTCTTTACTACTATCATTGCTAGTAGTTTGGTTACAATTTAATATTAAAAATATTTCTCTGGTTACGTTTATTGTGATTATGGGGCCAGGATTTGCCTTTTTGTTGTGACTTAGGACTGTCGGCTACGGTTTAGGGTTTAGGGTGGCTTGGGCATTGAGGTTGTAGCAGGTTCTGTGGGTTTAGCCTGCGCAGCACCCAATCCCAAAGAACCCTAAAGCCCTAAACTCCCAACATCAACCCCCATTTCCGTAACCCTAAACCCCTGCACCCTAAACCTTAAGCGCTCAAAACCCCTGCACCCTAACCCGCTACAGTCTAACCTTAAACCCTAAACCCCTACCCCCTAAGCCCATTCCATATAGGCTCACCCCATGCACCGTCGAATATGCCAACGCAAAGAGTCTTGGCTTAGGATCTGGGATTGAAGGCTTCAGGGTTGAGGGCTTAACGTTTAGGGATGTTCAGGGTGTAGGGTTTACCACTTTTGGGTTTCTTGCTTATTCAGGGTTTAGGCTTTAAGGTTGAGGGTTGATTTAGTTTAAGTAACTACATTAAACCTTCCAAACCCTAAACCCTAAACCCTCACCCTTAAACCCTCCTGGTTGAGGTTTTCAGGTTTAGGGATATTTAGGGAGCGTGGTCCTTTGAATCCTGCTGCAGTGAAACGCCCACCGTTTTGGGTGAAGGTTTTAGGCATGTCTGGGAGAAGGTCTGGGGGTCCAAGGGTGGGGTGGAGGGTTTAGGGTTTTGTGGGTTTGGGATTGAAAGGTTGAGTGAGGTTTAGAGTTTTGCGGTTTTGGGTTTTGGGGTTTAGGGTTTAGGGTTTAGGGACTAAGTTGAGTGAGGGTTCCCCAGAGAATCCAAGATCCCTTAATTAAGGAATATAGCTTAAATCATAATATGAAGCCCCTTATAACTTAAGGTATATTTTAGAAGCGCCCCCCACCCTGTAATAGTGGTATAATGGGAATATAATAGGGCTCTAATATAATATTAATATAATCCTTATGGTCACTATTACAGGGTGGGGGCAGCTTCTAAGGTATATTCCTTAAGTAAGGGGTGTTGGGATCTCTGGGTTCGATGTTGAAGAGTGCAGGGCTTCAGGGAAACTTCCGGGTTTTAGGCGCTGCTCTGCAGCTTTGACTCTAACCCTAAGGCTCAAAATAGCATACAGTAGAAGCCAGAAAGTTGGAACATGGCTTTAGGAGGATTAGTGCTAGGATCCCTCATACTTTACCTTAAGGGCATGAGGAGTCTGATGTTCCAACTTTCTGGCTTCTACTATAATATCACCCTTAAAGGAACCCCCGTAAAGGTCCTATAACCCTGGGCATCAAAATGGCCCCAAGAGCCTTGTCTAGTATGGTCTTTGGGCCCAAAAGCCTTAAAATATGAGTCCTTAGAGCCTAGGGGTAAGGATTTTGGGGCTTGATTCTGGGTTTGGGGCACGCTTGCTCATCACGAGGATGGAAGGGCTTCCAGGGGATACTATGCCCAAGCCTTCTGCGCCACAAGGCGTTTAACCTAGATCCCCAATGCCTAACCTTTAAAAACATTTCGGATTCTTATAGTTGAGTAGGAACCGGAAAGTTTAACCTTTTGTTTCTCTGGCTTCTTGGCGCAGCAGATTAACTACTATTTGCTTAAGAACCCCCCAAAGAATAAAAAAATATAATCCCTATATTACCCCTATAAGGAATATATTTTTTGTTTTTTTGGTGGTTCTTAAGCAAATAGTAGTTAAGACGTGAACATTTCCAGCTCAGGTTTTCTGGGTGTCAGGGCTTGGGGATGCAGGGTCAGGGTCTACTTGGAGGGGCAGGGGACTTAGTAAGTCGGGCTCCTTAAAGGGATCTATAGGGGTTCCTTAAAAGGGATCTATGGGGTTTAGGGTTTAGGTACTTAGTAAGTCGTTTATAAGTAGGGTTATAATTGGGGTATCTCCATTCAGGGTACTTACAATTCTACTTATAACCTACTTACTAAAGTCCCCTGCCCCTCCAAGTAGACCCTAAACCCTAAACCCCATAGATCCCTCTAAGGAGCCCTATAGATCCCTTTAAGGAGCCCTTTAAGGAACCCCTATAAACCATGTAGGATGTAGTTCTTTGTTTTGTTTTTGTGCTTTTCGGATTCGGGTTGCCTGGGTTTGCGGCCGAGGGGCTGAGCGTGTCAGTTTTGGAACGAGGATCTCCCGGGTTGAAAGTTTGTGATCTCGTAGACTGTAGTATTATGAATACAAATGATAGGGGTTTTCGTAGGCTGTAATATTATAATTGCGAAATATAGGAGTTTCTGAGGCGAATCGGCACCCTTGCTACTTGATGATGTCATGCTAACTTAATGGATCTTTATAGCATTTAGCCCCCGAAGGCTTGAACGCAGCATCCTTTTCTTCCGGTTTAGGGTTTAGGGTTTAGGGTCCCCTAAACCCTAAATCCTAAACCCCTAAATCCCTAAACCCCTAAACCCTAACTTCCACACCCTGAACCCAAGCCTCCATATCATTTTATCCGTAAACCATTTCCAGTTTCTTGAAACTTTCGAATTCCTCAACTCCTGAGAATCACTCTGGGGGGTTTACTTTTTTTTGCCAGGAAGATGCCAACTGTACACAGTTGTCATGCCTAGTTTGGGGCCTGCGGTTTGGAAGGTTGCCTATGTCGGGCTGTTTGGAGTGTTGGGGTTCAGCCAAAGGCTTACTTGAAGGATCATGGGACTTAGTAACTAGGGTTATAAATAAGGTGACCATACTTATAATCCCAATGAAGGTACTTGTAACCCTACCTACTAAGTCCCATGATCCTCCAAGTAGATCCCCAACACCCAACCTTTTAAACCTTTTGGCATCTTATACTTTAGTAGGTAGGAATCGGAAAGATTAACCATTTATTTCTGTCACTTTGGGGGTAGTAAGAAGTTCTGCGACGCTGAGGCAGGGCGCCGGGCCAGGCGGCGAAGAACGCACAGCCTGGCCAGTGTGCCCCAGGACTTCCTGTTAGGTTTATTGTTTGGGGTTTAGGATTTAAGGTTTAGGGTTGAGTTTCAGGATCTAGGGTTTAGTGGTTGAGGAATTCGTGTTTGGTTTAAGGAGCAATTGTCGGTGTAACAATAACTATTTGCAGCGCAATGCTTCCAGGAACAGTGGCTAAACCCTGTACCATACACCCTGCACGGGCAAACAGGAGAAGTTTCAGATTGTGTAGCTATGTTACGGCTTGGTGTTGCTACATTCAAACTCGTAAAACCCTTAGTGCTAGCAGACTGTTTCTAGGACATGTCGATTTATGGCTGAGGGTGTAAACCTTGGGATGTTAGCCGCAACCCTTAGCATTGAACCGAAACCCCGGTAAGCTCAGTGCATCTCAATATGAAAATGCAAGCCATGTATACTCCCTTAACAACCAAAACTTATGGGTTGCAGTTCGATTCAGGTTGTGTGCGTGTGTGTCGTTCCACATGTGCGGTGCACACGTCTGTGTGTTTCTGCTGTTTGTGACGATGAATGTTTCTATGCTCCTAGATATACGTGCATAAGTGCATAAGCAGATGTGTGTATATGTACATATACATATTTATATAATACATAGAAACAGTATGTGGATGTTAAGTGGGCCTATGGCACAGCATGAGCAAACTGTTGTGAATTCTAAACTTACAACTTGCTCCTAAACCTGCAGGGGTTATGAATGAGCTTCTTGAGGTTTATAAGCATCAAATCCTTGGCTTTCCAGCTACAGGGAGTAGAGCCTAAGAGATGCTAGGTGTTTCGCAACCCCAGAAAACCGCCAAAGGAACCCTAAACCCTAAACCCTAAATGTCTCAAGAGAATCGCTAAGAGGAGCCCGTGAAGGGCCCCTTAAAGAATTGAAAACACGTATAAGAAACCGTGAAAAAAAGCGGGACCCTCAAAAGACCCCTCGAAGTATCTCTTCAAGCACCCCTCAAAGGAGGCTTAGAGTGTTTCGGTCAGGAAATGAATCCTAGCTAAAGGCCTTAAACAAACCTGGCAGCCCCCAACTCAAATCCACTGCACCCCAAAGCCCTCAACCCTACATTACACTGGCCCAAAAAGCACCATAATGAAGCCGAAACCTTCGATTAAGCTTTCTGAGGATACATCTACGACTTCGTAGGAGGCGGGGTTCCACTGGGACCCGACACGCTCGCAGTGGGCCCCTCCCAGACGTCGGGCGACGCAATGCCACTGGGAGACACACTATCTAGGGTCAGTATAGGCCAGTTTATCGTTTTCTGTCAGAAGAAAAGATTTGGCTTGACTCTGAAAATCCCCAATTTCACTTGTGGACTAACGATAGCACCGTAACAAAAGACATGACCTCCAATATTAAACCCCAATGTAATATACTCTTCCGATTGCGGATGCTTGCTTGGCTCTGCTCATACCGCTCACACGCCCTGAACCAGATGCCTCCTAAACCTAGAGTAGAAGCCAGAAAGTTGGAACATGGATTTAGGATGATTAGTGCTAGGAATCCCTCTACTTTACCTTAAGGGCATGAGGATAATGATGTTCCAACTTTCTGTTTAGGGTTTAGGGTAAACTTGGCAAATCCACCAACCCGAAGCTCGAAAGCATGGGTCGGCATGCTGAAGCTCCCTAACCCAGACCTCCCAAGATCCCTTAATTAAGGAATATACCTTAAATCATATTAGGGATCCTTTTATGATTTAAGGTATATTCCTTAATTAAGGGATCTTGGAAGGTCTGGGAACCCTACCAGAAATTATCTGAACCTACTGTGTTGTAGGTTCTCACTCCCCTAATTACCTTAATGTCTTCGATACCGAACGGGGGAACTTTAAAGTTTTTGGCCTTATATGTTAGCTCTATCTTAGAAAGTGTGAACTTTTTGGGGGTCCGGTTGTTGAAGAAGAGAGATGTAGCAATATACAGGTACCCTTTCCAGGTAAATCCTTAACCCGCAGCCTTTGGGGTTCAGCGGTGGTGGCTGTTGGTTGGCGGTTTACGGTTAAAGGTTCATGCGACGTAGTGACTAGTGTTATAAAGGTAACCATATGCATAATTCCTTATATCAGCTTAGTTACGTACACCCTTGAGGGTAACCGTAATATAGAACCCACTAGTACCCTCAAAAGGAACCCTTTAACTCTACTTACTAAGTCCCGTGAACCTGCAAGTATAGGCTTCAGCGGACACTTGGGACCAGCAAGATCCCTAAACCCTGAACCCTGGCCCTAAACTCCAAGAGAAAACCTAAACCTAAACCCTAAACCCCCCAGGCCCTGAATCCTGAATCCTAAACACTAAACCTCTAAACACTATAAGTCCTAAACCATTCAAAAAAACTGCAGGGCGTGTGTGACTCCTTGGTTGACTTACCTGATCTGGGGCCTCGGGGTGTTGGTGTTGCTAGAACGGATTTGGGCCCTATTCAGGGTTTAGGGTTTAGGGTGTAGGGTGTAGGGTGTTTAGGGTTTAGGGGTTTCGGGCCAAAAGTACTCTTGTAAGGTTGTGACATTGCAAGTTTTTTCACTGCGACGGGAGATGGGAAGCAGCTCGTCACAGAGAACCCAATATCATCCCTGAATTAAGGAATATAGCTTAAATCATAATATGAAGCCCCTTATGATTTAAGGTATATTCCTTAATTAGGGGGTATTGGGCTCTCTGGGGTGTTGGGTGGCTGCCATCCAGTTTACTTGGCTTTTCTGCGAAAGACCAGTTCATGACTGGGTTGTCCTTTGGGATCTTTTGTTTAATTTCCCCTACTATTTTGTAGAGAACCATAATCGTAGATAATTTTCAAAGCCAGGACCCTCCTTGTACCCTTAAATAGAGGTATATGGCCCCAAATAATGGGCATGTAGGGTCGAATAGAGGGTAGATGGAGGGTCTTGGAGGGCTTAAAGGACAACTCAGAAGAGCTTCGGTCGGTTTTTTTACAGGGTTTTCCCGAAGCTCCTCCCGGCGCTCAGGAAGCGCGCAACCTTCGCTGGAAGCGGTCTGATGAGATACTCATTGGAGGTGCCCGAGACAAACCTGTGAAGAGAGGGGTTTGGTTTTTATGTAGACCCCCGCCCGGACTAGCCTCTCTTTAACTATTGAAGCGTAATGACAGGCATCATAATCCATCGGCGCTATAAGGTTGAGGTTTCGAGAAAACTCAGATCACCATAAGCATCCCTGAATATCAGGGGTTCTGTTTAGGACCCGCCCCGGATCTGGGAGGTGAACCATTGAACCCTAAACTCCCTAAACTTACCCCCACCTACTTGGAAGGGCAGGGGACTTAGTAAGTAGGTTATAAGTAGGGTTATAATTGGGGTAACTCCATATAGGGTACTTATAACTCTACTCTACTTATAACCTACTTACTAAATCCCCTGCCCTTCCAAGTAAACTCCCTAAACTCCCCACCAACCTACACGACCCCAGCTACCCTCGTGTGCGGCTTTGAGCTTTGGGAAAACTCAGGCATCGAAACCCCCAAGCCTGGAGAAGGGTTTGGATTTCTGTAGGATGCCAGGCATGAGAGTATTGGCCCCACTGACTGGATCACTTTACCCGTACTATTTATTAAAAATGGCTATGTAATTGTTGACCTTATACCTAACTGATATGGAGAGAACCAAATCCCTTACATACGACCCTAAATGTTCTACTGACTAGATCACTTTAGATTATGAATCCCTCGACTCTGGGCCTGAAGTCACGACCCTAAAAAGGCTCCTTAAACGGATCTATAGGGTTCCTTAAAGGGATCTATGGGGTTTAGGGTTTAGGGTCTACTTGGAGGATCATGGGACTTAGGAAGTTAGGTTATAAGTACCTTAATTGGGGTTATAAGTCATTATAAGTATGGTTTCCTTATTTATAACCCTAGTTACTAAGTCCCATGATCCTTCAAGTAGACCCTAACCTAAGTCCCAGAAGCCTAGAACTGGATTAGGCCTCAAGGTTCGATGGTGAGCCTTGTCTGGCATGCTCATTGTTGGGCTTTAGGCTTCACGGCTTTGCAATTTAAGGGTTTTAGTGTGGGTCTGAATGATTGGTAGTATTATTTCGAACTTCCGTTCCGTACAGCAAAGCAGCATAACATACCCCATAAACCCTAAACCCCCTAGGCCACATTACAGTAGAGTCATGAAGGCTCTCCTTCACAAGCCATGAGCCTGGCGCCCTTCAGTCTGCTTAGGGGTACTTAGAAATATTTTTTTTAATTTCTGGTTATTATAAATCTCTAAGCAACAGCTCAAATAAGGGTTCTAAGTTCAGTATAGTTCCCCCAAGGCCTACAGGACCTATATAATAGGATGGTCGTCAAAATTAGGGTCCTTTTCTGTGTCCTTGACATAATACGGCACCTAATATTTAGGATACCCAAAAAGGGGCCATAATTCTGACAACTACCCAATTAGTTGGCCTATGACCATTATGTTGGTATGAGGGTTTTGAAGCGTCTGTCCCTGGAGCACGGTCAAAGCCTTTAAGTGCAAGGTTTCCTGTAGGCTGAGTCTCTGAAGTCCTATCACAATGAACCCCCTTGCACCCTAAACCTACCCCCCAAGGGTCCAAGTACCTGATAAACATATACTCTCCTAAATCCTAACCTGCATAACTACTATCCTAAGCACGAGTACCATATTATTGGGTCCCCCAGACCTTCCAAAATGCCTTAATTAAGGAATAGACCTTAAATCATAATAGGATCCCTAATATGATTTAAGGTATATTCCTTAATTAAGGGATCTTGGAAGGTCTGGGCCTTTGGACCCTTAGGGTACAGGATTTTGGGTGTAGGGGTCCGGTCTTGGGGGCCCCAAAATCACGTTCACTAGGATGCCCAGTAGTACCCTTATTCCCCTTTTGTAGTCCTAGGTTCCTTATAAAGTTACCCAATACCAAAAAGAGAGGCCTTTTTTATTCTTAGGCTAGTTCACCATGCCATCACACCCTGAAAAAACAACCCTACTAAAGGTAGTTCTTGGAGTCTTTTAAAGCTCTGTACATGAATTGCAAGGAACACGCTGCCCTTAGGGGTACTTGGAAATAATCGTTAAGTTTTGGTTATTGTAATCCCTAAGAAACAGCTAAAATCATAATTTTTGCTAGGGTTCTAAGTTCAGTATAGTGCCCTGGACCTCGGTCCGAGAGAGGTAGAGATTTGCTCGTCTCGCGGTCTCCGGAATGCTGACTGGATGACTTTGGGCGTGGGTGGGACCTCCGATCCCTACTGCATCTGCCAGGCGCGGGTTGCTGTAAACACAGGTTTTGCCGTACTTAGGGTTTAGGGGTTAGGGTTTAGGGTTTACATGCATTAAACACATATCTCAATATATGAATGTGTGCATGCAGGCCGAGGTACAAACGGCACATACATACACGTACACATACATACATCCGTACATGCATGCATACATACATGCATGCATACACAAGAGAGCAAAGGAACAACCACGCGAACAAACAAACCAGCAAAGAAACAAACAAGTCAGAATCAATGCCCACGAAATTTCACGAACAATCAACGGCATACATAGCTTCATACATACATGCTTACCTGCCTGCCTACCGAAATCTAGTCATACATTGACATGCATGCATGTTGGCATACACACAACATACAAACATACACACGTGCACACTGCACTGCAAATTATGTAATACTACACAACTACGCATGATATTACATACACGTATGTGTATAAAAGCCCTTGTATACATGTAGATATGTAAGAACTCATGGATGGCTGGCTGGATGGATGGATGGATCGATGGATGGATGGATGGATAGATGGATGGAAGGATGGCTGGATGGATGCATGGATGGATGCATGGATGTACGTCGTGTATTTATAGTATGTTATGTATGCTATGTCTTTAACGTATGTATGTACGTATGTATGTATGGATGGCTGCATGGATGGGTGGATGCTCGGATGGATGGACGCATACACGCACACACAATTTGTTAGGTATGTTCATGTCTTACATGCGTGCGGGCTAATATATGTATGCATGTATGTATGTATATATGTATGTTATTTTGCTTGTCCGTTCAAGGGAGTGACGGGTGTGTGTGTGTGTGCGCATGTTTTGTTTGTTTGTTTGTTTGATGAATACATTCAACAGTACATAGGTCGGTGACTCAAACACACATGTTTTCTCGTTGCAGGTGATAGGAGCCGGTAAGACGGAATTTCGGACGAAGACGATCGACAACACCGTGGAGCCCGTGTGGAAGGAACCGCCTTGGTTGGTCCGGGGCACCCCAGACCTTAAATTCACGGCCCAGGTCCTGAAAGGTCTTTCAGGGTCCAGGTAAACCTAAAGCACGCCAAGTCTTCCGGTCCTCCTATCAAAGGAGGCCAAAAGGGGTTTTAGCCTATGGGGGTTTAGTAGGGATTAGGGTTCCCATAATGGGGTTCATATTTAGGCATCCCTACCCCAAGAGTCTTGAACCCCCCTTTTGGCCTCCCATCATCCTAAGTAGGCCTTTGGAGACCTGGACGTGCTTTTCCAGGTCATCGCGACCTAGCAGGATCGGAGTGCAAGGTGGGTTTAGGGTTACGTAGGGTTTAGGGTTTAGGATCTATAACCTTTGGGTTTGTCAGCATGTCACAACCTGAAGCAACAAAATCCTGAGCTTTCGAGAATGAACACCACATTTGTTACATGACTACCGTAGAAAATGAGCCCAAAGCCAAGCCCGCCTCTGAAGCAGGCCATCTTAACGTCTATGTTACATAGCTTTGTACTATGTTGCTGTGTTTTAATCCTATGTTTTTTATGCCACATAACATAAGCCGAAGCCCGTGAAAAGTTACCACCCTAAACTGTAAACTCATACCGCAAGAGTTGTGCCCTGCGTGAGCCGGAGTTGACTTGTTATGAATCTGTACTATAGGGGCCGCAATCTTACCTTTGGTTAGTTGGGAATGGAAGAATGGTAGTAATGGTAGTTATAATTGTACCCCATTCCTCCATTCCCCACTAACCAAAGGTAAGTAATAATTACCTATACTATTTTGGGGATTCCTACTTGTATTTTATGGTATAGTGGGCCCCAAGACCCTTCCAACTATTAAGGCCTCTATATCACGAATGCCCAGGAGTTTTTCAACGTCGACGACTTTTTTGAAGGCGACGTGTTACTGTTCAGAGTGTGCTGTGGATGCGACAGCAGATTTTCTTGATTTCGTATATACATCTTTCTGAATCTACAACGTTGACAATGAGGATAATGATGACAGTTCTGATCACACTGTGGATACGGAGCCCTTAAATAAGGGCTCCTTAACCCTTGAACACGAATTCTTGAAGGTATTGAGGACTAGACACCACTTCGAGTCTAATGTTGAAAGCCCTAAACTCCATTCCCTGGACCCTCCAATAATCCGATGCTGAGGTACGATGAGGACACAGGCAAGGAGGATGACTTCCTGGGGCAGGCGGCTTGCTAACCCTCACCCCTGAATCCTAATCCCTGGACCCTTCTAAACCCCAAATTACCTTCTCCCCTACTTGGAGGGGCAGGGGACGTAGTAAGTAGGTTATAAGTAGAGTTATAAGTACCCTAAATGGAGTTACCAAAATTCTAACCCTACTTATAAACGACTTACTACGTCCCCTGCCCCTCCAAGTAAACCCTAACCCTAAACACCATAGATCCCTTTTAAGGAACCCCTCTAGATCCCTTTAAGGAGCCCTTTAAGAGCCCTTACTAAGTCCCCTGCCCCTCCAAGTAGACCCTGACCCTAAACCCCTAAACCCCAAGCCCTCGAAACCTTCTACGCCCTGAAGCCATGCTCAAGCGCAAGGTGGAGCTGCCAACATGCTCAGCAGCCCGGACAAGTCCCTGCTGTTCAGGATTTCGGCGTTTCGAGTTTAGGGGCCTCGGGGGTTTGGGATTTATAAGGTTTCAGGCTTTAGGGTTGAGGGTTTAGGGTTGAGAGTTTAGGGTTGAGGGTAGTACTGATACAGAACCTGGCCTCACCTGACATTAGGCGATTGGGGAGATACGGCTGATGGACAGAATCCTGCATGACCCATAATAAGGAATATATGTCAATTATGGCATATTCCTTATTATGGGTTTAGGGTTTAGGGTTTGGGTCATGCAGGATTTCTATCATCAACCGTAGGTACTTTGGGAGCTCATGGTTGCTGGGCTACGACAACGGCAGGCACCTTTAAGCCGACTTTCTACTTTGGGATTGGGGGTGACCCTTTTGGGTTTAGGGTTTAGTGTTTGGGGTTGCGAGTTTAGGGTTTAGAGTTTAGGGTTTAGGTTTAGAGTTTAGGGATTACGGTTTAGGGTTTAGATGAAAGACCCACCACGGCGATACCACGCCAGGTGCATGTACACATGTAATAGCACATGCAGTCAGAAAGGCCTTGAAGTACCTGGAGTGATTGCTACTCTTGAAAACTCCCAAGCCTTTGATGCACAGCTGAACACAGAAGCAACCGGGCGCAGAACCCTGCACCCCAAAACCCCTTCGGAATCCCAGACCTTCTCGTACTTCTATGAGAGCCAGGGGTCTAGGGACAGATCCCCTCATCACACGCTTGCGTCAGCAGTCGCCCCTGAACACTGCCAAACCCCAAAGTTTCCCTCAACTCTAATATGGGGTTTCCGAACATGGGGGACCTAATCGACTTCCCTAAATAGTAGGATCCGTATTATAGGAACCCCATAATAAGGTGCCCTAATTTTCGGAAACTCCCATATCGTCCTTGAAGCCCGAACCCCAGAACCTCAACCGTAAACCTCATAACGAGCCCGAGTGAACCAAGGCGGCTGGCCCGTCTTACTACTCGAAGCAGCCTCCAACAGCATGCAACGCTTGCTTTGCAGAGTTTTTGGGGCAGGTGCCCCAAACCTAAAACCCTTCAAACCCCGAATCCGAAAACCCTAAGACCCCCGAAACGCGGCAAGAAGGCAAACATGCTCGTTTGGCGTGAGGTTTACTGAAGGGTTCTTCACGGGTGCAGGGTTTAGGATCTAAGGTGCTGCCCAACGGCTTCCGTGGCGAACTCCGTTTGCGGAAGACAAGCGCTGATGGCTCAGCCCCTCGAACCCGCTTCTGTCATTTTTTGCTTGAGGAGTTCGTAAGGTTGAAAGTTCAAGGATTAGGGCTTCTCTAAACCATCCTAAACCTCAACCCTAAACCATCCTAAACCCTAAACCCTAAACCATCTGAACCCTAAACCATCCTAAACCCCAAACTCTAAGCTCTAAACCCTCAGCTTTAATTCAGGCTTGAGGCTTCTGGGGTTCGGCTTCCAAGTTGAGTGTCTGCATTCCGGATGCTCTTGAACACCCAAAGGGACCGAAGCACCTATATCAGTTCCTAGAATTAGAAATCCCACAACCCACGATCTAATCTTTGTTTATCGTAGAGTCGTAGAATGTAGGATGTCAGAATTAGGACTTGCGATTGTGATTTGGGGAAGTGTCCCCCAAAGCATTACCTAAGACTCTTTGGAACAGAGTACAGTGCCACGCTCCGGAGCCCCAAACCTGAAACCTCGGAACCCAGCGCCCAGCGGCGCCCCGAAACCCGAAGCCCCAAACCCTAAACACTCTCTGCAACACGATGTTTGTTCAAGGGCAGGGGTATGCCCTATAACGATACATACATACATACATACATACATACATACGTATGTATATATATATATATATATACAATATGTATATACATTTATATATATATATATATATATATATATATGTACGTACAGAGCTACACACACGCACACACACACACAACTATATATATATATATATATATATATATATATATGCATATATATATATATATATATATGTATGTATATACATATATGCATACACATAATATATATATATATATATGTGTATGTATGTATGTATGTATGTATGTATGTATGTATGTATGTATGTATATGTATATGTATATGTATATGTATATGTATATATGTATGTATATATATATATATATATATATATATAGAAGTTATTGGTACACATACCATTTGCACCCTTGTACATGACTTGTACATGTCGTACCAGGACCATCAGAGTGGACTCGTGCGATTCACTTTGATTCAAGTAAAACGGGCTTTGCTGTGCTGGTTTTGCTTGCATTCATTGTGTCACATCGGTTCCCTTCGTGAACAGCTACAATATATATATATATATATACACACACACATACATACGTACATAGATACACACGCATATATATATATATATATATATATATACACGCATACATATATACATGCATACGTACATAGATACACACGCACATATTATATATATGTATGTATGTAATGTATGTATGTATGTATGTAATGTTGCATGTATGTATGTATGTATGTATGTATACCTACGTGTATATATATATATATATATATATACATTCACATGCATAAGAAATGTGTGTATACATATATGTATATACACACCCATCTACACATATATATATATATATACATATACATATATTGTATTCTTTATACATACACATGCATACATATGCATCGAATCACCAGCGATGGGGGTAATTTCTAGCAAGAAACAAGCTTGCAAATGGGTGAGGGCAAATAGGGGGCGGCGTAAACTTAGGGTTTAGGGGTTCAGGGTTTAGGGTTAAACCCCTATCCTAAACCCTAAACCCCTGTAAGCCTTAAACCAACCCTAAACCCCTACACGACCAGGGCATGCCGCTGGGGGTGAGGGGAGAGGGGGTGGGGGGGGGGGGGTCTGCGAACTGAGAGCAAGGATCACAAACTGCGGTCCCCCCAGGTGTACGGTAGGGGTTGCGAGTTTAGGGTTGAGGGGTTTGGATTCAGGGCCAGGCATTCCCTAGACCGCAAAGCCTTGAGATCCCTAAGCCGTATTTTGCGGAGCTACTGGTCGACCTATGTCGTCCTAAAGACCAAACAGACGTGAAGCCTGGACACAAATTTCCTGGAATCCTCAACGGTGATCCCCAAACATTTCTACCCCAAAGCGGCGCCACAGCGGCGCATACTTATGAGTCCTGAAAACCCGTAAAGCTGCAAGTCCCACACATGGAAGCCGATGTACCATGCTACCTCCCAAGACAGCGCCCAGACCAGGACAGTCCAGAAGCTTGAACTCCGAACCCTACATCCCAATACGAAAAGGAATTCTACACTCCATAACCCTCAATCCTAATCCCAGGACAGTCAGGAAGCTTACCTCACTGTGGGAGTCACTATCCTCGATAGCCGCCACGACCCCACTCCGTGCCCGATCTGCGATATCGGAGAATTGGAGGGCGGGGGTTGAGAGTGTAGAGTGGGTGGAGGGGGGAAGGGATGGTATTGATGGCGAAAGCGGGCAGGGCGCAGGGTTTGCGGCAGTCGGATGTGGTAGTAAAAGTTTCAGCTGCTTCGAGGATTACTCCATCCCTGATAGAGATGAGCAGGAGTATTTGCAGCAGTGAAATCTCATTGACGCCCGCATGCTTTTCACTAAAGCAAGTCACGCATGTTTATTAAACTCCCTGCTGATTCGTGGTCAAGGCTTAGAGGGATGAGGGTTTTCAGGTTTTAGTCGTCTGGGCTTGGGGTTGAGGGCGTTGTAGTTGCGAGCTTAGCTCAGCGAATCCTAAACCCTGAACGCAGGCAAGTAGATGAAATGTTGTTATGTAGATATTGACTTGCAGTAGTTAATGCACATGCATGCGAGTATGGATACTTATGCATGATATGCAATAGAGCCAGCTGTTCAGCAAAAACAAGCCTGCAAGCAAGCCAGCTAGCAAGCAAGCAAGCAAACGAGCAAAGAGAGAGGGCGACAAACAGAGAGAGAGAGGCAGCGAGATTAAAAACAACAGACAGCGCGAGATGCAACCACCACATCCGAAGATGCATCAAACCTAGCCGAAACGCAAGCCAGCATATGGGAGTTTCCGAAAATAGGGGACCCTAATATAGTACCCGAAATAGTAGGACCCTTACTATAAGGACCCCCACATAAGGTACCCCTAGTTCTCGGAAACTCTAACCCTTTATAGAGCCCTTTAAAGGAACCCTTATAGTACCCTTATAGTGACCCTTTAAAGAACCCCAAAATAAAGTACCCCTAGTTCTCGGAAACTCCAAATCCTAGGGCCCCTTATAGTGTCCTTATAGAATTCCTTTAAAGGAATCCTGAGGTACCCGTGATTTTCGGGAACTCAAATACGAGCCCCCAAAAAGGAACTACCAGGGAGCCTAATATTATAATAAGGACCCCCAAAGCGACCCTAGTTTTGATGACCACCCATATGGGAGTTTCCGAAAATAGGGGACCCTAATAGAGTACCTTAAACAATAATAATAGGATCCTTACTATAAGGACCCCAAATTAAGGTACCCCTAGTTCTCGGAAACTCAACCCCCTTATAGAGCCCTTTAATGGAACGCTTATAGTACCCTTATAGTGACCCTTTAAAGGACCCCAAATTGAGGTACCCCCAATTTTCGGAAACCCCCATATGGATAGGCAAACATAGCACCAAGGCCGCCTAGAGCAGACACGCCGCAGCTCTTCCGCGTGGAAATCCAGTGCCTTAGAGGCAGCGAGTGGATCTTAGGGATCCCTACGGCTCCTTTAAAGGGATCTATAGGGGTTCCTTTAAAGAGATGTATAAGGGTATCATAGGAGGCCAAAAGGGGTTTTAGCCTATGGGGGTGTAGTAGTGGTTAGGGTTCCCATAACAGGGTTCATATTAATATTAAGGAATCCCTACCCCAAGAATCTTAAACCACCCTTTTGGCCTCCCATCAATCCTTTAAAAGGGGATCAAGAAGAGGGTTTTAGGGTTTAGTGTCTAGGGTTGATATGATATAAACCGTGCAGTACCTCAAGGAAACTAAACTGTGCGAATTATTTATGTATTCCTTATCATGGGCAATGCAGGATGTATATCATTAACCGTATCCCTCGAGCTCCAAGTATAGAAACAGTTCCTACTTGGGTCTAAAGTCTTTCAACAGTATCTACTTTTCGATGTTTGGAGTCTTAGAGGATGCATTTTTGTATATTGAAGTAGGTTACAGTACACATAGGACTCAATATATATATATATATATATATATATATGTATATTTTGCTGCGGCTTATGCCTATTATAGTATCTTATAGTAGGTTTCAGGCAGTAGGATTTGAGGTGTCAGTGCTTTAAATTTAGCTTTGACACACCGTTTATGAACGGATCCTGAGTCCAGAGGATTCGTTGTTGCTTCCTAATGCAAACCCACAACCATACTTAGAGGTTCATGGGACTTAGTAAGTAGAGTTCCTTTAAGGGTCCCTTTAAAGGGATCTAAAAAAAGGGATCTATAGGGTTCGTTAGAGGGATCTATAGGGTTTAGGGTTTAGGGTCTACTTAAAGGATCATGAGACTTAGTAACTGCGGTTATAATCAAGGTAACTATACTTACAACTAGTTTTAGCCCCAGCTAAAGTATTTATAACTGTAGTTACTAGGTCCCATGAACCTCCAAGCATACCACCCCACCTCGACAAAAATAGCCCTAAGCCAGCAGTTTGCCTAGACTGGGCTAGTTGGAGCCTCAGCTGTGGAAGTTGATCGAAGAGTCCAGGGTTCAGGGCTTTCAGGGTCAATTGATTCCTGCAAAGTTTTTGCTTCTTGTTTGGAAGTACATAGTTGTGCCGTCATCCTAGCAAGAAAACTATAATCAACCGCATCAGGAACCACGTTATACGCATCACTTCAAGATTTACTGTGTGCTTGATACGGTGCCCAGGGGGGGGGGGGCAAAGGTGGTAGCGGGCTTGGGTTGTATGGGTTTTGGGGTTTTGGGGCCGGCTACGCGCTAGCGGATCCGCTAGAAAACTGGAACATTGAGTGTAGGGTTCAGCGTATAATGCGACCTAGTAGGGTCCAGCTCCAGCACCTTGATCATGCAGTATGCACGTGCAATACTCGGAAGTTTGGTTGCAGTGTTGCTGAGTCTCTGTTGCAACCTGTATGTAACCAGCAAAGTACAAGTAAATAATTGCATGAATTGGTACATAAACACACAAAAACATACGCACACACATCTTTATACACCTACCTACCTACCTAAGTACATACATCCATACATACATGTGTATATATATATATAATATAGTTACTATTGTTTGTAAATGGTATATCTATATGGGTATGTAATGCAATGTAATGCAATGTAGTGTAGTGTTGTGTCATGCATGCACATGTATGCATGTGTGTATGTATGTATGTATGTATGTAGGCATGCATGTTGTACGTACTGGTGAGGTTCCATCACCCCGTATACGGTACTGCTGTAAGTTTTTGGAGAGAGCATGAGAAATGCTTTGTCCATTGTACACTGACCTTGCGAGAAACATTATTTTGTTGATGATAAAAATCCTGCATTACCTTAAGGACCCTAAACTATGGGAATTATGGTATATTCATTATTATGGGTAGTGCAGGATCTGTATCATCAACCGTACACCGTATGGTGTGTACAACACGTAGCTCATAGCCTTTTGTGTTCAGGGACATGTTTCTCGAGAAGCAATCGTACATTGTAGACTGCTGATTAACGTTCCCGTTTGGTGAAGGGCCCTAACCTTCGGCTACCGATTTTCATCTCCTGGATGGTATAGGGTTTTGGAATCAGGGGCCTACATAAGGGGAAAAAACAAAATCCAACGTTGAAATCCTATAAGCCCTAAAGCCTACCTACTCCGGATCTGAGGCGAGCAGTATCTTTGAGCCGCCCGGCGGCGGACCTTCAAGTGTTTCATCCGAGCTTATGTCTAAGGTTTGAAGTATGGGCCCCTAATATGGACCCTTAGGCCCTTTTGAGGGAGTTCTAGGGACCCTTAAGAGTCTATATAGGGTATGTAGTATATACTAGGTATTTAGGGATCCCAAGCCATCCCTAAACCCTAAACCCTAAACCTTAAACCCTAAACCCATGGTTTCATGATTATGGCGCTTCGTCGGGTGGCAAGGATTTGGAAACCTTGAGTTTTAGAGGCGTTTAGAACTTTTGGGCTGGGGTTTAGGGGTTTAGGGTTTAGGGTTTAGGGGTTTAGGGGTTTAGGGTTTAGGGTTTAGGGTTTAGGGGTTTAGGGGTTTAGGGTTTAGGGTTTAGGGTTTAGGGTTGTTAACTGCTTGAAGGTTGGAAACCGGATTCAAATAGTGCTGGGATTTCCCATATATTACTCTTAAGGATTGAGGCTATCGTGTTTCCAACTTTGGGCTTCTACTGTAGGGCTAAGTGATGTCCCACCTGGGGTTTTGTTGAAGTACTTCACAGGGTTCGGTTAAACAAATCTGGAGTTTGAGGAGGTTTTGAGTTTGTTTCGCGGTCCTAGAGGAGTCACCTATTGATAACTTTTTTGCGAGCATGCCAAGAAAAAGGTGCCGAAAGGCTGCTGTGGCATTGTGACTGCGTGCACGGCAATGAACTCTCAATTTTAGTTGCCTCTAGGTTGCCGAGCAGAGATATGCAGAAGTCAACGGTCTAGGGTTCAGAGTTTCCTGCGCCAGTTGTTCACTTGCCTCGCGTTTAAGACAGAGAGGCAGGTGGGTGCAAGCTGGCAGCGGCCCCACCCTACCCCTCTGCCCTGTCAATCAACCTCCCCCGGCCCGAAACCTCAAACACCAAAAATTCTTAGTGCCCCCCCCCCCCCCCCCCAAGCGCTTATGGTGTCAATCAGCAAGCCCTGGCTTCGGACAGGTGCAGTCTGAGTTTCAAGTCGTAAGCAGGGGTTTAGGGTGTTGGGGTTTAGGGTTTAGGGTAGGGTGTTGGGGTTATTGACCCCCGATTTGTAGGAACTATTGTAGACGGAGCTGGCCCAACCCAGATGCCAAAGGGTTCGAAGTGGTCAGGATTTACCAATGCTCATCAGGACACTCAGGGGGTAGGGGGCCTTGAGACCTATAATAAGGATTAAGGACTTAATCCCCCGCCCCCCCCCCCCCCCGGAGGGTCCCTATGAAATGCTCTCCCCAAGTTCCATTTAACAGAATGAGTTTCTTCTTTGCACAACAAGAGGTAACCCACCAAAGGACTGGGCTTTGGAGTACCGTACTTTAATACTTGATTCTTAAGGGAACCATTATGAAATAAAAGTTTATGCTTTTTTCTTTCTGGCTACTTAATGGTTGCGAGGAGCTACCACAGGGGCCTTAGTAATTGGAGTAGGGTTTGGGGGTGTATCATGCCATAACTAGAATCAGGAACCCCCCAAAATTGTATAGGTAATTATCAATGCCCCTATAATAGGCCCTAAACCCTAAACCCGAAAAGAAACCCCTATAGACACCGGAGCCCTGTTACAATTACTCCAAGGGTAAAAGGAGGGACCCTTAATAAGGACCCCTAGGTATATACCCTTAATATAGCTATTGTGTACCCATTATATCGCCCATTATAGGGTAGGGGTCCCCCGTAAGGGTCCCTCCTTTTCCCCTTTGATCTTTGCACAACAACAGGTAACCTACCAAAGGAGCTACCACAGGGGCCTTGGTAATTGGGGTAGGGTTTTGGGGGTGTATCATGCCATAACTATAATCAGGAACCCCCCAAAATTGTATAGGTAATTACTAATTAATGCCCCTATATTAGGCCCCAAACCCTAAACCCTAAAAGAAACCCTCATAGACCCAGGAGCCCTGTTATAACAACCAACTAAGGTTACCAATTCCCCTATACTACATTGGTTTGGGGCGACCTATCACCCCAAACCAAAAGCCCTGCCTTCAATTGGGGTTTCAATCTGCGGTGTGTTTAGGGTTTAGGCGTTCCGGGTTTACAACGGGATTAGGGTTTCGTAGTTTTGGGCATTCTATCTGATCAGATTTGAGCTTGAGTCATTCACGAGTAGACTACTTCTATGAATTTCTTGTTCCCGAGATGTGCAGAAATTGGGGAAACCAGACAAAACCCTAAACTCCCAATTCCTTGAGAGCCTACATCCCTAAAGCGCTGCTAAACCCTAAAGCGGGAATTCCAATGCCCGAAAGGCCGAAACCTATATCACAAGCACTAAGACCTAGATCCCTGAACCCCGCACAGAAAGGTTGTTGTAGCTCGAGCTACCTAAGAGTTACCTTAAGGGCTCTACCCAATAGATTTTTCAAGGGGTCATACATTGCGATGTCGTATGCTTTGGGTTGCAGGTATAGGCTTTTCCGGCCTGTCATGTCGATTAGTGTTGAAGTTGGACTGCTAAGCGGCAAGGCAGCCACTGTGACAGCAGGCTTGGATGAGAACGTGGAGACATTACGGCTTCGAGCACAGACTGCGCTAGGAGTTGGGAGAGGGCGGCTGCTGGACGCATCTGGCAACGTTCTGGATGCACATCTACCGATCAAGAATGCCCGAGTGCAGAAGTTGGGTTCTTGTTAAGCAGCTATGTATTTCAAGATCTTTTTAACAGGGATCCATAGCAAATAGTGAAAATAGTATGGTTTCTTGCTTATGCTGAATTAAAAGAACTCATTAGAAAGAACCCAGGAATGGTGAAGCTCTGACTTTGCACATGAATGCAGTTCAAATACAAGCTTCTCGTCTCGCCTTTGCTGCCATTCTAGGCGACGGATCCGTCATGACTTGGGGTGATGCTGACTCTGGTGGTGAGAGCGCTGCTGTGCAGGATCAGCTGAGGCATGTGCAGCAGATCCAATCTACTAGCAAGGCTTTTGCTGCTATCTGTGGCGACGGATCCGTGGTAACCTGGGGGAATCCTCTCTTCGGTGGTGACAGTACTGCTGTACAGGCTTCTTTGAAGAATGTCCAGCAGATCGCATCCACTCCATATGCTTTTGCTGCCATTGTTGACGATGGCTCAGTTGTCACCTGGGGTAGTGCCTACGGTGGTGGTGACAGTAATGCTGTGCAGGATCAGCTAAAGTCTGTGCAGCAGATCCAAGCTACTCACTACGCTTTTGTTGCCATTTGTGGCGACGGATCTGTGGTAACCTGGGGTGATGCTGGCCTTGGCGGTTCCAGTCGCGCTGCGCAGGCTCAGTTGAAGAATGTCAAAGCGGTTCAGGCCACTGACACTGCTTTCGCTGCCATTCTTGATGATGGCTCAGTTGTGACCTGGGGCGGTACTGGCGGTGGCGATGGCAGTGCTGTGCAGGATCATCTGAAGAATGTGCAGCAAATCGAAGCCAGTGGCTACGCTTTTGCTGCCATTCTTGACGCTAGGTCCGTCCTGACCTGGGGGAATGATGCCCATGGCGGTTCCAGTCGCGCTGTGCAGGCTCAGTTGAAGAATGTCAAAGCGGTTCAGGCCACTGCCTATGCTTTCGCTGCTATTCTTGATGATGGCTCAGTTGTGACCTGGGGCAGTGCTGGCAACGGCGGCAACAGTAGTGCTGTTCAGGATCGTTTAAAGCATGTGCAGCACATCCAAGCCTCCAGTGGCGCGTTTGCAGCCATTCTTGCCGACGGATCCGTCGTGACATGGGGTGATGCAGACAGCGGTGGTGACAGTGGTGCTGTGCAGGATCATCTGAAGAATGTGCAGCAGATTCAAGCCTCTACTTTCGCTTTTGCGGCCATTGCAGCCGACGGAACGGTCGTTACTTGGGGTAATGCTGACTTTGGTGGGGACAGTAGTGCTGTGCAGGATCGGCTAAAGAATGTGCAGCAGATCCAAAGCAGCTACAATACTTTTGCCGCTGTTCTTGGCGATGGATCCGTCGTGCTCTGGGGACATGCCCATCGGCAGTGATCGCTCCCGTGCAGAACCAGCAGAAGATCGCTCAACTTCCTTGCGCGGCTTTTTAAATTTCCGGAGGAAAAACGATGGACTCGAAATGATTTTTTGAATTGTGAAGATGAACGTCCGCAGCAGATCTCAAACTCCAGCCTGCAAATCCAAGCAACTAGAACCTTAAAGCCCCCAATCGCCGTGGGTAGTGCTAGGCTTCTGGGTAGCAGCACCGCACAGGATCTGGTGCGTTGAAGATACTCACAGAAATTCCTTGCGCATCAAGCAACAGGACTTAAACCCTGAAATTTTGACAGCTACTCGGAACCATCGGCCGTGTCATCATTTGCAAATACACTGTTAGCGCCGCAAGAAAGTATACCCTAAACCCTAAAGTCATAGCGCTTGCACAGACGGCACCAGCCCTGAATCCTGCAGTGTATACCCCCAACCTAATTGTTTAGTTCCTGGGTTTTGGGGCTCAGGGTTATATAGGTTTTGGACCCTGGATCCTAAAGCCGACCCCTACATGATACAAAGCCTGGACCACAAGAGCTTGGACCGTCGTAGTAAAACATTGTAGCTGCCCATAAAACCTTTGCCCTAAGGGTACATACCAATATAGTCTACTTAGAGGTTCATGGGACTTAGTAACTATGGTTATAAACAAGGTAACTATACTTACTGTTTGTTTTTATAACCCCAGTTCAGGTACTTATAACTGCACTTACTAAGTCCCATGCACCTCCAAGTATTCGATCCTGAAGTACCTACCCTAAAGGTACCGTAGGGTCTGATTAACAATTACCTAGATGATTTTGGGGCTTCCTCTTCATAATTATCGTATAGTTAATGGGCCCCAACACCCCGATTCTAGCTACTAAGGCCCCTAGATTACACGGTAGACCTACCCCTTAAACCCTAAACCCCTAACACCTACCCCTTAAACCCTAAACCCCTAACCCGTAAACCTTAACCCCTTAGACCGCTTGCCGGTTGCTTCACCCAGTAATCCTGCGAGCTCCCCGTCCCGAGGGAACGCGGACTGGGTACCTGGGACCAACATCTCGGACCCGCCTCTGGCATGCAAGATTCGTATGGCTTTGGGTTTAGGGCTTCAGGGCTCTTTTAAGGCTTCCTATAAAGGAATTATACTGTTTTGGGATTTACAAGGGTAGAACTGATTAAAGGGGTCATAACCTACTATTTTGTAGGGTGCAGGGCTCAGGAATCTAGGGCTTCAGGACTTAGGGTTTCTAGTCCGGTTTTGAGCTTCGGGTCATCATAAAGTTGGAACGTGGGCCTGGGATGATTCGTGCTGGACTTCCCTCTACACTATGCCAAGGATAGCCTAACCCTCAACCCTAAACCCAAGGATGTGAGGATAGTGAATGTCCGACTTTATGGCCTTTTGCTGAAGGGGCTCCTAGGGTCTGTTATTTGTGCTGGGTTGTCCTTTGGGATCTTTTTAATTTCCCCTACTATTTTGTAGAGAACCATAATCGTAAATAATTTTCAAAGGGCTTAGAGGACAACTCAGTGTAGTGATAGCTTTCCAATTTATGTTGTAGCCTTGTTTTGGTCGGTTTTGTTTTAGCTCTACGCCCATGGGATGTGTTATGCGTGGTTCTGTTTCGTGTGGCTGTATACAATTTTTTGACGATAATATGCAGACCTTCAACCTTAAACCCTGTACGGCCTCATAGGTTAGAAGCTGCCCCTACCCTGTAATAGTGACTATAAGGATTATATTAATTGGGGCCCTATTATATATTCCTATTATACCACTATTACAGGGTGGGGGCCCCTTCTAACTCATAGGGTTCACGGTTTCTGGAACAGGTATCAGCGCTTGGCAGATTGAGGGTTAGATTTCAGGGTTCGGGGTTTTGGTTTAGTCAACGGGGAAAAGGAGGGACCCTTAACGGGGACCCCTACCCTATAATGGGGGCAAATAATGGGTAAGCAATATTGATATTAAGGGTATATACCTAGGGGTCCTTGTTAAGGGTCCCTCCTTTTACCCTTGGAGTTTAGGATACAAATGCAGGGGTTCTGGGGTGAATCAGGATCTCTGGAGTAAGGTTCGAGGACGAGGGCACAGGGTGTTGGTGCGGCAGTCGGTCCAATAGTCTCTGTTTTGAGGCGCTACTTGGAGGTTCATGGGACTTAGTACGTAAAGTTATAAGTACCTTAATTGGGGTTCTAAGTAGTTATAGGTATGGTTACCTTATTTATAACCCTAGTTACTAAGTCCCATGATCCTTCAAGTAGATCCCTAAGCCCTAAACCCTTAAATGTACCCTATCATAGAACCCTATAGCACCCTTAAAAGGAACCCTAAACCCTACATAAATCCCAAAGGTTAACCTTTCAGGCCGGGCCCCCCCGAAGATGCTGGGCAACTACGTAAGTCACCGTAAGACCTTTCACCTATACCCTAACCCTAAGGCTCATCAAAACAGCCCAAAAGCCCTGTATAGTATGGTCTTTGGGCCCAAATGTCTTCAAATACGAGTCCTTAGAGCCTAAACCCCTGAAACCTTCAAAAGCTTGAAAACATGAGTCCTTAGAGCCTAAAGGTAAACGCTGAGAAGCCACCCTACTTGTAGAATCTTGCCGGCTTCATTTTTTTCGGCCATGAGGGTTTAGGGTTTAGGGTAGGAGTTAGGGCTGAGGATTAAGAGTTTAGGGCCCTAGGTGGAACCCTTAAGGAGGCTAACGGGAGCTGCAGGGAGAGGGTGTCCTGCGAGGTACGTGAAATGCCATCTGCGCTCCGGTGACTCGGTTCCCCACTAGTACCATGTTTGGCTTTTCATGTTGGGGCTTCCTTAGTAAAGCCAAATAATAGGAAAAAAGATACCTTTATTGGTAGAATTATGATTACTATTATTACTATTATCGTCATCATTATAGTTAGTCTTGTTATTGTTACTGTTATTACTGTGATTGTTAGTACTATTATGAATAGCATTGCTATTCTTATTTCTGTTCCTATTTGTTCTTATTGCTATTGATGTTATTACTATTATTTTTGAGGGTCTACTGGGGAACCTAGGTGATGGTAGAACAGTGTCTGGCGACAAAGCTTCGCTCCGCACGCAGACAATCAAGGTGGGTTCAGAGCTCATAGGGTAGGGGGTTCCTTAAAAGGGATCTATAGTAGGGTTCTATCATGTAGGGGGTTCCTTTAAAGGGATCGATAGTAGGGTTCTATAATATAGGGGGTTCCTTTAAAGGGATCTGTAGGTGTAGTGTAGGGCTTTGCTGGTTCAGGGTGTAGGGCTTTAAGGGTTGCGGGGCCTTCAGTGCTTCGTGCCGGCAGGGTTGAGGATTTTACGGGTTCACGCTCTAGGGTTCATGATAGGGCTCTTGGGGGTCATAGGTTTCGTGGGGCGCCTGATTTTCTAATTTTAGTTTCAAGCACTTGCATCAGGATTTCAATTCCCTACTTGTCGGGTATCGTGGGGGACTAAAGGTTAACCTTTTTGTTTATATGCGGGTTTTGTTGGGACTATACTACCCCAATAAAGGTTAAAGGTTACCTACTGCAATACTAGGACAAGAGATGCTATCAAGGGTGCTATATGGGTCATTCTACAGGTTCTAGAAGATACCTATAAGGTTCCGACAAGCTCTTCGGGTGAGATGCGGGTTTGAGGGCTAATGACAGCTAGTGGAGGTTTCACGAGATCCTGTACCCTAAGCCATTCTAGCCAAGGCTCCATGTAACTATCCGCATAGTATATACTTAGGTCTTAAAGTACCTATACAGGCTATACAGGGACCCCTTTAAGGCTTAAGTATCTACTATGGAGGTACATGGATCCGTTGGGTCTCTGAGGGCCCATGTCCGCGTATGCTATATACAAGTCGGTCGAACTTTGTAGTCCCTAAACCCTAAACCCTAAAACCCTAAACCCTAAACCCTGTTCCTGCCAGAATTCGACCGAACCGGTCTGGGACTTTGCCGGCAGCCTGTCCGTCCCCAAGGGAGCAGCGCTGGTCTTCGAGGCGCTGGGTTTGAGGGTGTACTTAAAGGGTTCCCTTAAAGGGATCTATAAGGGTTCCTTAGGGGGATCTATAGGATTTAGGGTTTAGGGCAATCCTACTTAGAGGTTCATGGGACTTAGTAATTACGGTAACTATACTTATAACTGATTTTAACCCCAGTTAAGGTGCTTATAACTGTCGTTACTAAGTCCCGTGAACCTCCAAGTAGTTGGGGCTTAGGCGGGTTTGGGGTGTTTCACAGGTTTGCGGGCTTGCAAATTTGAGGTTCCGACCCTGGCGGTTTGGGGGTCCTGAAACCCAAATCAAACTCTAATTTGAAAGGCTGGAGTTTTGATAGTGTCAGGGTTTGGGTTCCGGAGCGGGGGTTTCAAGCTTCAAGCCTTCATGTTGCTTAGAACTGTAGAACCAATTACGGATATTGGACCTGTAAACCTGATAGTTCTTTTATTGCTATCAATATTGTTGTTTTTGGGTAATTTTTGAAACACGGTTGAGATTGATTGATGTGTTGATCGTGACTATATGAATACGACTTGTCAAATGCATCCACAATCCAAGCCCTGTGCCCTGGAGGTTCTTGACCAAGACTTGACCGGGCAGCGTCCTCATGAAGTTGATTGCTCTAAGGCTCTAAGAGTCGTAATTGATAGGGTTTTAGAGGGGTTCTTGAAGGGTTCTAGTTCTGGAAGGGATCTTTATGGGTGTATGGGACTTTGCATAGTCGTTCATAAGGTTTCTTGAAGCGGTTCGGGTGTTTTGGATCTGGGAAGTGTGTGCACAAGTGTGGTTTGGATCGAGAGCTTCTAGGCTTTGTGGGGTCCAGCCCATTAATACCATGGGGAATTTAGGGGAAAGAGTACAGTAAGGGAATATCATGTAAAGAACCCTAGGGTATACTGTTGCTGATTGTTCGGGATTCTATATTGGAGAGTAGCAGATCTTCTTTGTTTCATCAGCTAATCAAAAGCTGTCTGGGGACTTAAAAGTCTATCTATGGCTCAGGTAATTACTGTACTGTTTTGGGCCCCGGAGTTGCTGGGCATATGGCGTTGGGATACTGTGTTGCATTTTCACAGGATGTGATCTCCCTTCGCAACATTTACAAACACGCCTAAAGCCCAAACCTTCGAGACCCACAATCGTGAAAATCTTAAACCCTGAACCAACCGTCTGCATGGAAGCCCAACTCGGGACCCCAAGCTTCAGCTACATGAGCCCAAAATTTTTTCAACCTCAAGACCAAACCTGATTTGGTTGGATCTGAAGCTTCAAAGCCCACAACCCAAACATGCAGAGATCCATTAGGGTTTAGGGTTTCGGGTTTAGGGAATCCTTCATCAGGTCCTTATGATCAGGTGCTTTCAGTTTCAGGGGGGCCGAATTAATGTGCCTCTTGCCATGTATCGACACCGTGGATACGATTTCCTCTCTAAGCCCTTTCACAACACACCCTGCGAGAAAGCGACCTCGCAACCCTCTGCAATATCAAGTTTGAGCCCTGTTTTGCAATCACCATTACCCAGACCCCCAGGGGGATTCAGAAAGTAGATCCCCTAATTTGGGGCCCTATACAACTCAGGGTTCTTTGAGGAACCCCCATTAAGGGATCTACTTTTTGGATCCTTCCGGGGGTCTGGGTACAAGCCTACCTATGCTGAAGCTGTACAGGCGGTGCTCCGCCCAATCAGAATCCGAGAAACAGAGGTAGGGCCTGCCTACCAACGAGAACCCAATGCCCTTAAATTCAGGATTTCGGGTTTAGGGGCTTAGGGTTTAGGGTTTACACCGATACACCTCAAATCATAATATGAAGCCCTCTAACTCTATTCCTCTAAGGGTCCATGTATCCATGTAGCATATACGCTGGCCATAAAGTAGTCTCCCTGTCTAAAGTATGTACTGCATGGGTACCTGGACATTATACCTAAATCCTAAGCCCTCAAAGTGCCCTATTGTAGAACCTCTGTAATACCCTTGTATAGTACCCCAAAAGGAACCATAGTACTACCCTTAGAGGAACCCCCCGTAATAGTCCTATAACCTATAACCCTGGGCATAAAGTATACAGTATGGTCCTTGGGCCCAAAAGCCTTAATATATGAGTCCTTATATATAGATGCCTAGGGTAACGGCAAAAGCTCTCTGCGTTCCCAGGAGTGATTTCCTGGGCCGGGCGGTGGTCAAGTACGAGCAGCTGTCCTCTGGAAACTTCAAGGACGGATGTTTATCGCACGTACGTGCGTTAGAACCCTTAAGCATGCCTTTACTATGCCATAGTTGGGTAACGCTTCACATGCTTATGAGTGAGTATTCGAACACTGTAAGGAACTGAAATTCGCATGTCTAATACCATCCCAACCATGAGCTAGGAGGTTTTTTTAGGACAAAAGTCAAAGCCGCAAGAGCACCCCTCATCGGCACACAGAACCCTTAAATATCCAGGAAACCTCAACTTAGTCAAGCCGAATTAACCGTGACACTGTAATAATCTCCCTCTGACAGCAGTCGGAATGCGTATAGCTTCTGTGTAATTTTAATGTAGGACCTACCCCATATCCTATCTAATTTGTGTGTTTTGTTTAAGTTGTGTTTGGTGTTATTACTGTATTTTGTGTTATTGCTGTCTTTATTGCTAGTGTTGACATTATAAGTATCATGGCTATGAACGTTGTTCGTAGCAGTATAGGTATTAATGCACTTATTTCATCTTCCTGTTCAAACGATACGAACGTCATCATATATGTTGTAGTATCATCTTTGTTGTTGCTGCTGTTGTTCTTGTCATTTTCATTATCATTCTTATTGTGGCCCTTATGGTTGCTGGCCGTGAAATAATTGAGCTCGGCTTCCCTCTCCCTCTCTCTCTCTCTCTCTCTTTGTCTCTCTCTCTCTCTCTCTCTCTCTCTCTCTCTCTCTCTCTCTCTCTCTCTCTCTCTCTCTCTCTCTCTCTCTCTCGCTCTCAAACTGGAACTCGACACTCCACGCAAGCAGGATAACGGGAGCTAGTAAGTAAGGCTAATTGTTTTAAGTAGGTTCATCTTGTTTATCACCACCTTAATTGGGGTTACAAGTGAAAAATGAGAAAATATAATAAGACTTCAAGTATGGTTACCTTAGTCATAACCCCAGCTACTACCCCAAAGGCTCCATGTACCTTCATAGTAGATACTTAAGCCTTTCAAGGGGTATATATATATATATACATACGTACATACTATATGGGTAAGACCCGATCCGCCAGTCCCGCAAGGAGGATCTGGTCCTCGAGGGTTCGCAGACCAACAAAAAGGCCGGTCGGTCGTTCGCTCGCCCGGGGAACTAAAGGGGTTCCTTCAAAGGATGCTCTGGGGTTCTATCATATGGTTCCCTTAAGGGTTCAGGGTTTCAGGTTTAGGGGTCTAGGGTTTAGGGTTTGGGGTTCCTTCACAGGGTACTGCAGGGACTGTAGCGTTCGGGAATGTGGTTTCCTTAACGGTTTAGCGCTTACTTGAAGGTTCACGGGACTTAACAACTAGGGCTATAAACAAGGTGCCTATACGTGTAATTATTTCAGCCCCAGTTAAACTGTTAAGGTTCTTGCAATTGTACTTGCTAAGTTCCATGAACCTTCAAGAAGGGTTGAAGCTTAAGGGTTTGAATGTTTAGGGTGTCAGGGTTATGCGTATTGGGGTGCAGAGTTTAGGGCTTTGTAAGTTTACGGGTTTAGGGTTAGTTTAGTGCTTTCAGGTTTACAGTTTTAGGTTTAGGGTTTATGTGTTGGGTCTCATGGTGATCACGCCAAACCCTTACGAGAACCTTTAATGTAATCCTCGTATAGAACCTTTTGAAGCAACCCCTGTCGAAAGCTTGGAAGGGACGCCTTGCAGTATGAAAGCCCTGAAAGGCGAGGCTGAGCGTCCGCATCGCAACAGCCGAGATTGAGATCGAGCGGCTGTGCGCCGGCTGCATTGTGGACCCCTAACCCTAAACGCAGCGAACATGATACCGAAGCTGAAGGAAGGAAGAGAAAGAAAAGAGCGACAACAATGAGCAATCTTATTCCGACTATAGGATATATAAAATCGTATAGTTGTCATGCTCTTACCCTGGGGGTTTGAGGTTGCCTACTATGGATTTCGTTGTTAAGGATCATGTGTCGTCGCTACGGCCTCGGCATAGAACGGATCATGTGGCTGAGCTTCTGGGTTTGAGTCTATGACATGGTCTAGAGTCGATTGCCTGATTGGGTTTCTACTACTGGCTCTGTTGTGGGTTCTCATGTACCTGTGGATCCCAAAACCCTACCGTTTTAAGGGTCAGGCCCTCTAATTAAGGGGTCATAACCTACTATTTTGTAGGGTTTGGGGATACAGGTAATGGTCTTGGGGTCGATGATGTGCCCGACGGGTTGTGGTGAGAACATGCACGTGGCCATTTACCTCAAGCCCTAAACTCTGAACCCTACTTGGAGGGTCGGGGGACTTAGTAACTGGTTATTGTAGGGACCTATAAGTACCACAACCCCAATTAGGGTCCTTTTTAGGGTACTTATAAGTCTACTTACTACCTACTTACTAAGTCCCCCGACCCTCCAAGTATCCCTAAATCCCTGAAGCCTACACCCTGGACACGCTCGAAATGGGGCCTTCTCTCCTGGCCTTTTGAAGGCCTTCTTGGAGTCGCTGCGAGGGACTTCGGGAAAAAGGGTTCAAAAAAAAACAAACCTGAACTAGTCCCTAAACTATGAATTCTAAACTGAACCCCTAAACCCCCGTAACTGTAAACCCAAGCTCTAATCGCCAAATCCCTCAACCCTAAATCCGTAAACCCCCCAAATCTCTATACCCCGAAATGCCCATGCACCTAACTCCCTACACCCCTGTAACCCTATAGATCTCTATAAAGTGCCCCTTATAGATCCCTTTCAAGGAAGCCTAAATCGTAAACTAAATCCTTACACCCCTGTTGCTGTTGGCTCACACTCTACCCATGTCTTTAGGCTATTTACTTTTCTATACAACACATCCTAACCATTAAACTATGTATCCTTAAAAGTTTGTAGGGTGTGAGCCTCTAGGTAAACCTTAAACCTTGAAACCCTGAACCCCAAAATCCAAGACCCAAAAGCCAAAACCCACAGTACCCTTGTAGAAGCCCTTAAAGGAACCCTTAAAGGGAACTCCAGAAAGTTGGAATATGGATTAATGGTAGGATCCCCTATAATTTACCTTAAAGGGGTTACGATAATGATATTCCAACTTTCTGGCTTCTACTGTAAAGGAACCCCTGCAACTGCAAACCCCCGGCTTGCAAGGAAACGCCTCGGAGCTCAGCAAGAGAAGCTGGGCTTCCACGAGCAGGTCGGGGGCTGCTCTGCAGTTGAGAGTAGTTTAGAGTTTAGGGTTTAGGTTTCGAGTAGTTTAGAGTTTAGGGTTTAGGTTTCGAGTAGTTTAGAATTTAGGGTTTAGGTTTCGAGTAGTTTAAAATTCAGGGTTTAGGTTTAGAGTAGTTTAAAGTTTAGGGCTGAGGTTTAGAGTAGTTTAGAATTTGGGGTTTACGCTTAGAGTAGTTTGAGATCTAGGGTTTAGGTTTAGAATAGTTTAGAACTTAGGGTTTAGGGCTTGGTGGTTTAGGGTTTGGGCGTCTACCTTAAACTACCATAACCTACTTTATGTAGGCTTTTGTTGTACATCCGAATTTGAATGTTATGTGGACTTTGCCAGAAAGTAAGTTTTGCTAGCATAAGGTAAGGATTAGTTCTGGTTGAAGGTTTAGGGATGCTGAGTAGCTGAGTAGTTGAAATCTAAACTTGCTCGGGGAACAACATCTTGTCACAGTTAAACTGTCAGGCTTGCTTGAAGGATCATGGGACTTAGTATGGGGATACAGATCATGTGACCATCCCTGTTAAGGGACGTATAAACGTATGTGCTAAGTCCCATGAACCTCCTAGAAATTGTCATTGTGTGAGATCCACGGAACTGAACTTCTGCGAAGCCTTCATAAAACCGCAACACATTGACCCAAACTGTAATATGGAGGCTGGAATAATTGCCACCGGTATTCCTCAGGGCTCCTCATTACAGCAACATTATATTCACCCCCGAACCATCCGATAGCCTAGACGTAAACTTGCAACTGAAACAGCTTGGATTAGAGTCCTGTGAGGCTCAGAAGTGCTACAGCTCGGTCGATGAGCCACGCGGCAGCCAGAAGATAACCCTAAACTGCCCTGAACTCTAAGCCCCAGATCCATCATCCGTGATCCTCCATTCTGAACAACTCTCAGCCTTTAGGAACTCGAAGTTTCTATTGCCGTGTTTCTTTCCCTAAATCATATCTCTCTTGTTCTTCATGCATTTCGACCCAAACCCTACAGAACATCTTCGGCCCAGGATCCATAAGGATGCGAACAGCTACCTGAGTGCAGATGGCATTGAGAACCTGCAGGCACGTCCCCGGTTCACGAAACAAGACTGTTTTGATGTTTGGAATTTGCTCTGGGATTTTTCCGGTTTTGTTGTAGGGTTTAGGATAGGGAGCTTCTGAAGCACACCCCCAAAGCACTCAACCCTCGAACAGAAACCCAGGAATGAGCAAGATGGGTTGACGCCAGAATGGTAATTGTGAAGAGACTTCGGTTACCGGTTTGGAGCTTAATGGGCTTCCGTATAAGACCCAAGGCCTTAAACCTAAAGCAGGATCTCAATTGAGAGCTCAGCTGCGACAATGCCGACCCCAAGAAGCAAGGCCTGTACCCTACACCCCAGACCTTCAGCCCTGCACCCGTGCCCTGATCCCTAGACTCTAAGACGTAAACCCCACCGCCTACACTTTGCAGAAGAATACCGTATGTGAATGTAAGGTAACCCTCAAGCCCGGAAGCCCAAAAACTCCTAAAGGCTCTGGCCCGCATTGCGAAGCATCTCATGGCCTTCGATCAGTCCTTGGTGCATTTGCAGGAGGGTGTGGGGTTTATGGTTAAGGGTGTGGGGATTTAGGGTTTAGGGTTTGGGGTTCCATTCAGGGTTTAGGGTTGTGGTTCTGGCTAGGTCTGCTAAGTTACCCAGTATTTCTCTTTCTTCGTCCCCTGATGAAAATTGAATACCAGAAAAATTGGTACCCTTATTGGGGGGACGATGGGGAACCAAGTATGGGTAATTCTCCAAATTAAATGTTCTTTTACGGGTACTTTACATAAGGGTCCTGCGTTCTTTTGGGTCCCTAAAGAAAAGGGCCCTAACTCAGAGAACCACCCATATGTAATCTTGAACAAGTACAAACATATTTCCTGAGGGTTTCTCACTGTATTCTTTTGCACAGTATCCTAAACCCTATGATGAGTCTGCCAACGGTTTAGGATGGGGCGGAGGCGTCCTTATGCAAGTAGCAGTTCCTGGGCTTGTAACCCCCCAAATAGTATGATTCATATGGGTGGTTGTCAAAATTAGGGTCCCTTCTGGGGTCCCTATTATAATACGGCACCTATTATTTAGGGTCCCCAAGAAGGGACCACCACTTTGACAACCGCCCATATGAAGAACCCTAATAAAGGCCCAAGTTTTCTCAATCAAGTTCCTACATTATTATGGAACCCTTATAGATCCCTTATAGTAACCCTTATATAGACCCTTAAAGGACTCCTAAACCATACCCTAAATCTGAAGTACCTGGGGAGTCCAAATTCTGCGTAGTTGCAACTGTAAGCGGATAGTTCCCGAGGTAGGTATACCTTCACCTGCTGGTACTTTTACGCGCTTAAGGAACTTGAAGTAGAGTGTGTTGTATATACATACACATATATATATATATATAGTTTATACATACATAAAATTCTAGCTGTTTGTTTATCTATCTATCTATTTATTCAGACTTTGGGTTGAGAGGAGTCCAGATCTCATAACAAGCGTGACCAAGCCGTAGCAATTCTCAAGCTGGCAGTCGTTCTAGCCTGCGGCAGGGTGCCGGAGTGCGATCGCCCAGGGTTCCACGAACGGGCATCAGTGGTTTGTGAATATGCCGAACTCACAGACTGCAATCAACCTCGTATCCTAAACCTTAAACTCTCAACCCTAGAGGCTCAACCACTTCAATCAGCTCATAGTGGCCAAGTTGAGCAGGGTTGGATTTGAAATCTGGTTGGGACCGATACTACAGTTCCGCTTCTTCCTTAGGTTTGGTTTCCGTAGCAATGAGAAGGAGCCCCTAGCGTACATATCAAAAGACACCCTGCAATGCCCGAAATGCGTAACTCAGGTTTGGGGCTTCAACAACGCATGAAAACCTGAACTTCGAGAGCCCAACCCTTGAAAGCCAGGGGCCTCAAGTACAGAAAGCACCCAGCTTAAATCATCTGATCCTTACATGTTTTCAGTGTGAATCCTTACTTGGGGTTTTTCGGGCCCTTTGTTGGCCTGAAGCCCACAACCCTAAACCCTAATTCGAATCTTAAGCTGAAAACCTAAAAGCCCACCAGAAAAGAAGCCTCAAAGGAACCCTTCCGCACAGAACCCCCTAAACCCTAAGCCCTAAACCCTAAACCCTACCCTAAACTTGCCCTAAACCCGGCTCAAAACCGAAATCCCACATCTCAAACACTACAATAACCCGAAGCCAAACATGATAAAGAACCCAAACCTTAAACCCCAAACCCCTACTTGGAGGTTCATGGGAATTAGTAACTATAGTAGGGTTTAAGGCTCGTTTTAAGGGTACTATAGGGCTCTATAAGGGGCTTCCTTTTAAGGGTTTAGGGTTTAGGGTCTACTTGGAGGTTCATGGGACTTAGTAAGTGCAGTTATAAGTACCTCAACTGGGGTTATAAGTAATTATAAGTATAGTTACCTTATTTTATAACCCTAGATACTAAGTCCCATGAACCTCCAAGTATACTTCCCTTATGGAACCCCTAAAGACCCGAAAGGAAGCCCGGCGCGTGTCTCAGCTCCTATGCCGAGCGAAGAGTCTGCACTTCGCACAGCTTCTGGCAGAAATGGGCTCCTCGCATTTTCAGAGAACAGGGCACCCTGACATAGCACCCTAAATAGTAGGACGCGTATTATGAGGACACCAATATAATGTAGCCCTAATTTCAGGATTTGGGGTTCAGGGTTTGGGGTTGAGGGTTCAGGGTTTATGGTTCAGGGTCCAGGGTTTGGGGTTTAGGGTTCAGGGAGTACGGTTGGGGGTTCAGGGTTTCGGGCTTTTTGGTTGCGATTTCGGGGTTTTAGGTTGCAGGCTTAGTAGGTTTCAGGGTTCTTCTGCAGTCCATGATGTTATGTGTTTTTTTGCAGAACTTCTCTTGCATGCCTTTCTTTTCTGCTCGAGTCGGTTACAGTAGAGTGTTCTCTTGTCATAACTTACCTTACTGCGTCACACTCTGCTACAGTTTGTATATATAACCGTCCCTGTGCACGATTTGGAAATGCACAAAGAGCATCAACATCCTGGAAGTTCTCGGCTTCAGGAAGAAACCAGACTCAACCATATGCGAGCGACTACCGAACTCAAACACTAGCCCCGAACCAACACGAAAGATAATGCACACAACACACAACCTACTTGGAAGGGCAAGGGACTTAGTAAGTAGGTTATAAGTAGGGTTATAATTGTGGTAACTCCATTTAGGGTACTTATAACTCTACTTACAACCTACTTACTAAGTCCCCTGCCCCTCCAAGTAAACTTCAAACCCGAAACTTGCCTGGGCCCAACCCTACCCATACGTCCCGACACTCTACAACACGACACGAACTGTTCTGATTAAACTCCAAGCCTATAACCACGTTACAGTCCCATACGAGCCTACTGTATGTATGTATGCATGCTTCATATAGGTACATATGTGTGTATGTATGTATGCATGTATGTATAAGTGCGCGCGCATGTAGGTTTGTATGTGCAGGCTGTACAGCACGAGATATATATGTATATAACTGTATATATGTATATGTAGCTAGGTAGATAGGTAGCTAGATAGAGAGACGGACAGTCAGACAGACAGACGGACAGACAGACAAACAGCAAGACACACAGACAGACAAAAAGACCGAAAGACGGACGAAAGGATAGACAGACGGACAAACATATAGATCGATAGAACGATCAAACGAAAGAAATTCAGAAAGAAGGATGATAGATCGATAGGTCGATAGGTCGGTACATCGAAAGAAGGATAGAACTCAGACAGACATGTAGGCAGGCAGGTAGGTAGTTACAAAAACTGGTAAAGAAGGTAGATGAATAACAGATGAGCTATCTACATGCGCATATGCGGCTACCTGCAGGAAAAACACATATAATCGTCGCACATCGTACGTATGCTTTTGCAGGCGGAACAACCTATTAGGTTATGGTTATGCTTTGCTGACAGCCTTGTAAAGCTATAAGTAGTATCTCATAAGTTTCTGTCTAGAAAATCGCAACAGGAGGAATGCTGGTTCCCATTATGAGGAACATTCACGTTGTGTTCATGATAACCATGGTAGCCATAAGACAATAGTGAGGCTCATGATGGACACGATGATTATGCGGATAACAACAACAGCAGCAGCAGTAGCTGCAGAAGCAACAGAAGCAGCAAAAACAGCAGCAGCAACAGCAACAGCAACAGTACCAGCAACAGCAGCAGCAACAGCAGCAGCAGCAACAACAACAACACCAACCACGACGACAACACCAGCAAGTATAGCACTGCCATGACCACCACCATCATCATCGAACAGCAACAAGAAACAACAAATACTAAAGTAGCAACAACAACAACACCAACAGACACAACAACAACAACAACAACAACAGCAACAACAACAACAACAATTTTATTGGACGCTGAGCGAGCGGGCTCTGCTCATTGCGGGCGAGCAGAAACTTCGGAAGCGTGCCATCCCCGAGTGTGCCGTGAGCCAGCGCCACCGGGTTAGCCATAAGCTAGCACCACTCCCTTAGGATCTGACCTGCCGACATTCTTATAGAGGTTACGCGGTCTTCGCCCGGCGGCCTTGTAAAGAAAAAGAAACAGACTGGCGCTTTGCGCGAGGGGACTGCCCATGCGAGAATCGCAGGTACCTCCTTCATCCGTTTCTGAGAACTACGACCGAAGTCAGGTCCCGAGGCCTCGCGTAAAACAAGCCAAAACGAACTGACCAAACAAAACCAACAGAGAAGACCGCGCAACCCCTATAGGATCCTCAGTGAAGGAAAAAGAGGAGCCGATGCAACAAACGTTAAAAGAGAAAAGGCCTAAGTCAAGAAGAGCAGCGCTGCAGACTGTACACAGCAGCAACAGCTCTTGGGCACCAGCCTCTAGGGGATAGGCCACAAGAAGTTGACTTCAGTTACAAAGGCGTTGCCCGTTTTTGCGCGAGCGATGCCCGAAACTCCTAACGTGACAGCCCGACTCACAAAGTCGTCGTCATGTAGCCTCCGTCACCCTCAGTGTGAGTCATTGCGTCCAATACTCACGAACTGGCAGCCGGTGGGTCGTACTCAGAAGAGCCGTCTCCCAGAGTTCCCGTCTAGTGGCGTCCCACACTAGGTAACTCCCGACTACCAGCGATGGGCCGTAAGGATAATTCGTCGTCAAGCAAAAAACACGTGGGCCGTCACTCCTAGCACTGCCTGACCCCGTCGGTAACAGTGTCCCAATCTGCGCCTTGTCTTGTAGACAAGTCTGGCCCGGCGGCCCCCGAGAGGCCTCCCCCACCAGAGAGGATAGCCCCTCTAGGCCCACAAGGGCACCCCATAGCAAGAGGAGTCCCTGAAATGCCCGTCGGGGCCAGCATTGGGAGGATGCTGACGCGTTGTGAGTCACCACGTTGCGCCTAGCCTGTCCTGAGTCTGACTTGCTCGCAGGCGCTGGCGGCTGAACAGAAGTGAAGCGCAGAAAACACTCAACCGTGACGAAGAGCTCTCGATCGCACTGGCTTCGTAGCAGCCGGTGGCAGTCCACTGTGCCGTTGAAGAAAAAACTAGTGCTCGAAGAAGACTGCATGAGAATATCAGACGATCCGTGTCCTTCTTGCGGAGGTGTACCAGTTAAAGCGCAAAACCAGAGCGCCAGCAAAACTGCGCAGGAGAGAGCTTGAGCTGTACCTGGGTGTCTTGTCGTGTAGCTGGAAAGTCGAAGAGAGGAGTGGAACGAGGCCTCAACTCGAAAGCTTCCTTCAGGATACCCAGGTGCAGAAGATGGCCAACCCATGACTGGGGCCGCCCCTTGAATGGCTTGGTGCGGCAGGTCCTTTTGTAAATGTAAAAGCATCGGCAGGAGAAAAGCACTGAGGCACAGTCGACGCGCCTTCCGCTAGTTACGCCGGAAAGAGAAAACTCGATCCGACTCCCTTCATCCCGCGGAAAGGTGATAACCCTACCGCTTACCTCTTGCCAATGTTGTGTAACTGCAGACAGAGGCCCGGGAATTGGGACCCGGTAGATCACAGCGACACGTGGCTCCAGGGATGGTTATGGCTCAATAAGAGGACGGTCCCTTAAGCTTCGCAGAAGGGGGACGTTGCGAGCCTCTAGCGTTGGTACCCAGAGCCTTGTTAGCAAAGCTACACAGCCTGCTGTGATCCATAGCGGCTACAACACCAACAACAACAACAGCAGCAGCAACAACAACAACAACAACACCAACAACCACAACAACAACAACAATCTCCTCCTCCTCCTACTACTACTACTGCTACTACTACTACTACTACTACTACTACTACTACTACTACTACTACTACTACTACTACTACTTCTACGACGACTACGACGACTACGACTACCACCACTACAACTACAAACACGAAATTCAAGAACCAAGCAACTCATACCACACAAGAACAAATAAATAGCTTTTCAAAGAAAGGTTGCAAGTGCCAAACAACTACGTAGCAGAAACACAAACAACCGTTAACAAACAACAAATGGTATTAACAAGGACAGCAGCAGCAACAGCAACAACAACAAACAATTACAGCAAACATACCATTTATCGTAGTAACCTATATAACAATAGCAATAGCTAGCCAGAGCAATGATGGCAATCCGGGGTAATGGGCACCGGAAAAGGCAACCATATAGCAGCAGGGATATTGGCCACAATAATGAGCCCTAAACCCCAAACCGCAGGATGCCCGATGGACACCCCCAAAGCGACGACGATGAAGGCTGCCTGCACTTCGCCCTGCGCGACTTCCCCAGGGCCGAACGTGCCTATGACGAGAGCCGCTGGGAACTTTAACAGTGGATTTTAGGGTTCATTTATGGGATCTGTAGGGTTTAGGGTTTAGGGTGCCCAGAGAACCCCATATCCCTGAATCAAGGCATATACTTTAAATTATAGTAGGACTTCCAATTTGGTTGAAGGTATATTCCTTCATTAGGGGATATTGGCGTCTCTGGTTTACCAGGCAGAGGTCCACACAGGCCTAGTTCAGAGAATTTTTTCACTCCGCACAAGGATCATCGATCCGATGTAAAGAAACTTCTGTGGTTCACCCATAGGCCCCAAAGTAGTTCCTTTTTGGGATTGCCTTATAGGATTCTATATATGAACCCCAAAAAGGAACTACTTTGGGGCCTCTGGGCAGGTATGTGTTGGCAAGTCTGGACTACGGTTCCGGAGCCTGCAAGCCCCTAAACCCTCAACCCTAACATGAACCCCAAACCCTAAACCGAGACTCCAGACCCTAAACCCGAAACTGAACCCTAAACTGAACCCCAATCCAAAAAACCCTAAACCCTAAACCCAGTCGTCTCGGCCTTTCGAAGATCTCCAGCCCAAGCATGAACCCGAAATGAGCACCGATGGCACCTTAAAATCCTGGAGTTCTTCAAATGGGTAATTCTCTGAATTAGGGTCTGTTTTTAGGTCACCAATCTACGGCACGCTTTCAACAGGACCCGACAAGGGATCCTAATTTAGAGAACTACCCAAATGGTTCTTCAGAGGATATCACAAGGGTTACTACGGGGTTTGGTTCAAGGGCCTTATCTGCTTGGAACCGGGATTTTGCAAATATGACTCTGTAAGTAAAGTACAAAAATTATAGTCGAACCCTGCAATAATATTGCCAATTATGTATGTTCAATCTACACCCGAATGTTCTGCAGGACCCCACTAAGAAAACCCGAAGCTAAATGCCATCCAGGCATCCAGCCCTTGCAAGACTACACACCCTTGTGACAGAAGACTAAAAAGCCCTTACTTACACAGGTCAAGACGGACTCTGCAAAACAGGTACGAACCCTTATGCGACCGTCTAGAGCCCTGCTAGAACTCTCATAAAAGCCGCAACCCACAAGTCCCTAAACTCAAACCCTACAAACGTTCCTTTAAGGCGTCCTTTAAGTCTTCCTTGGTCCTTTAAGCCTTCTAGGACCCAGAGTAGGCCCTTATTCCCTTTTTTATGGTTTAGGTTCCCCTACAACCCCCTTCAAACCAAAAAGGGCACCCTTTTTAATTCCTATGTTACTCTTAGGTCTAGGCTTCCTTGAAACGGTTGATAGAGCCCACTCAGGCGATCAGACCCTCCGTCAGCTCGGCTTCGGCGAGTCAGAGCACAGGGCGACCGTGTCCGATCCTCAGTGCGACTCTTCAGGGTTCAGGGGCCTTGGGGGTTCTGTAGGGGTCCCTTTAAGGGTTCCTTTAAGGGTTCTATAGGGATTCGGGTTGAAGGGTTTAGGGGTTTAGAGGTTTAGGGTTCAGGGGCTTAGGGGTTTACTTACCTTTGGTTAGTAGGGACTGAGAATGGTAGTGATAGTAGTTATAATTTGAAACGCTGCGCGTCGTCCGCCTCGGCCCTGCTGTACGCGCATGCGGCGAGTGGCTACTATCTGCAGTAGGGTTAGAATTTCAGGTTTGAAACTCGCTTGGTACTGCAGCCTTAAAGGCGAGCCCCTACATTGCAGTCCTGTGTCGTCGAAAACTCCACAAAACTCGCACCTGTCAGCGAACGAGGGACGGGAGGGAAGGGGGAGGGGGGAGGGGGGGGAGGCAGGGGGGAGGCAGGGGGGGGAGGGGGGGGAGGGGGGGTGGGCGAAAATTCACCGGGCTCATCGACACGTTGTTTCCATTTTTTAGGGGGGGGCGGGGGTGGCCAGGATTTTGGGGGTGGGGTTAGTGGGGAGGGGATTAAGATGTGGGGAATAGAGGAAATCCGAATAGGAACCTCTGACCCCTCTGAAGCCCTAACCCCTAAACCCACAACCCCTATGCCCCAAATCCCTAAATCCTAAACCCTAAACCCTTAAACTCTAAACCCTCAAGCCATAAGACCCAAACCCCTAAACCCCTAAACTTACCTTTGGTTAGTAGGGAATGGAGGAATGGGGTACAATTCGCCTCGGCCCCGGCAGGGGATTTGCGGCTTAGGGTTTAGGCTTTCATTTTGGGGTCGGAATAGTCCACAAGAGTATCATGTATCCCCATGTTAGTCCTTGTTGAGTTACTCTAATATACCTCGAAGCCCCGTTCTGATTGCCATGGCCGCTGCAAAACCCGTTAAACCCACGCTTTGACGTCGGGTCCATGGAGGGCAGCAAGAGCCCTGAACCCCTAAACCCTGAAACCCGAAACCCAAAACTGCGAAGCTCTAAGCCGTAATCCCCAAAGCCTAAATCCCTACTAAACCCTAAAGCCCAAAACCCTAAAGCTGTAAGCCCGTAAGCGCCACAGCAAACGATGCCGAGGCAATCCCAAACTAAGAGTCTTTCCACGATGCAATGTACTTGACCTGAAAACACCGTATACTACAGGTGCAGTATAGTACGAAAGCCCGGTTCTTTATCTCTACACCCTAAAAACTCCCCAACCCCTCAACCCCCTTGACCCTAAACCCTGGAGCCCTGCAACCCGAAACTTCTATCTCTAAACTCTAAACCCTAAAGCCCTAAAAACCTTAACACCTCAAAACCTTAACCCCCTAAACCCCGAAACCCCAAAGCCAAAACCCCTGAGCCTACAAGAGGGGCCGAAATAATGACCAATAGTATTGTGGGGTTCCTTATTATGAGTATAGTATAATGGGCCTCAAAAAAACCCTAGTCTAATTATCAAGGCCCCTATATTAAACCCTTATGATAGCCCTTATAGTAGCCCTTATAGAACCCTTTAAATCTTAAGGGAACCCTATTCTAAATATTAAGGCCCCTACAGTACGCCAAGGCTGGCGGGCCGAGCCGGCATGGACTTGGCCCAACAACGGCCGGGCTCAGCACTCCGAGGCTACGAAAAGGCCTGGGTATCCCTAGATTTGGGAGTTTCCGAAAATTAGGGGTACCTTATTTGGGGGTGCTTAAAATAAGGATCCTACTTTTTTAGGGTACTAAATTTAGGGTCCCCTATTTTCGGAAACTACCATTTGGGTGGTTGTCAAGATGAATTAGGGTCCCTTTTAGGGTCCCTATTTTAATACGGCACCTAATATTTAGCGTACCCAAAAAGGGGCCTGTAGGGGTGACAGATATAAACAGACCAAAATACATACACACACACACACATATTGGCGCATATTCATGTGTGTATATTTTATTATAGAGAATATGGGTGCGTGTAGTACATGCGCAAGTGTGATATTCTACACACATAACTGACCTTATCCGACTGCTCTATTCGCTTGGTCGTCTCTTCATGTATTGTTTATCTGTGAACACATCATAACGAAGAGAATGTTGTATGGCAGCTTCCTCGGTATATGGCGTTCTTGTCTTGTGTTTCATCTTTTGGTTCTGGGTTTCTATAGGGTTGCCATATGGGATTGTTGCCTAATGCGTGTATGAACGTGTAGGGTAGTTGAACATCCTGGACTTCAAGGAATGGCTTTAGACCCTCAGCCCTAAACCCTAAGCCGTTCAGATTGTGACTCCTACACCTTAAACTCCGGAAGGTACAGGCTTTAGGCTCTGGAGCTTGGCAGCTTTGGCCGTGGAGTGATCACATGTAGCAGCAATGTGGCAGAGAGACAGGCTGTTTACGATTTTAGGGTTTACTGTTTAGGCTTTTAGGGTTTTTGTGGTCTAGGGTCCTTAGGATTTAATGGGGCTTTCGGGTTGTAGAGTTTCGGTTTTAGGGTACCGGGCTCCAAGTTCTCCAAAACATAGGTTACAGGGATACATGGGTTTAGGATTTAGGGTTTAGGGTTTAGGGTAATCGATACAAGGTTGTGTAACCTACCATGAGGAGCAGTTCTCACCCTAAACCCTGTACCCTAGTACCCTAAACCATATACTCTAGCTCCTAAACCGAAAAACCCTAAACCCAAACCCTGCACCCCAGACCCGAAACTCTAAATCCTAAACCGTAAACCCTGAACCCTAAAGATTGAACCCTAAACCCCAAACCCTAAACTCTAAATCCTAAACCGTAAACCCTGAACCCTAAAGATTGAACCCTAAACCCCAAACCCTAAACTCCAAATCCTAAACCGTAAACCCTGAACCCTAAACCTTGAACCCTAAACCCTGAACCCTAACCCACACCAGTTCTTAGACAAGGCGGTGGAGCTCCGCAGCCGCGCCGGGGCCCTTCGCAGCGTGGAGGGAGCCGCCCTGCTCACGAACCGAGGCGCTCCGTTTTCGGGGTTTAGGGTTTTGGGGTTTGTGCTTTTGGGGTTGTGAGGTAAAAAGGAACTTTAGCCTTTAAATAACAGGAGATCAGAGTAAGTGTATAGATGTTTACGTCTGGGGTTCAGCATCGAGGCTGCAGTTCTGGCCTGACATCCCCAAGCCCCCGACGCGATTTATCCGCTTCTATGGCTAACTCTATAGTTGTATCTGCATCTGTATCTATCTGTCGAACTTTCTCTATATATTTCACTTTGTCTGTATCTGTATCTATGGGCCAAAGTGTGCAGTGCGTATGATGTCACATGTTTCAGTGCCGATCCGTTATCGTCCATTGAGGCTCCCGACCATAGATGGATACTTACATAGGATCCTCTATTCAAGTTGCGATTTGCACTGCGCTTCAACGAAGATCTAGGTGCTGAAAGGGTCGTGGGCGCAGTAACTAGGGTTATACATAATTAGTTATTACTCAATTTAGGGTACTTAAAACTGAACCTACGAAGTCCCATGAAACTGTAAGTATGGCTAGAATACGGACCGCGCGACTACGCATTCGCTGCGCCGGGTCTGGGCGAGTATAGGTCTAGAAACGAGTCTTTCCTTGCAGCATTCCTTGTACACGCCCAGGGTTTAGGGTTTAGGCAACCACAGAGTTGCAAAAGCGCAGGAAGCAGCCGTATGAACTCCGGGACAGTCTCTGAATCCCCGTAACATATATATATATATATATACACACTGAACCCTGAACTCCCTAAACCCCGTAACCAAAGCCCTTCACCCGCAAGGCACTGCGCGGTTCTCCACAGGTGACTGCTCAGGAGCCATCCACGATTTCCTCGAGGCGGAGTTTAGGGTCTTGGGTTAGGAGATTTAAGGTTCAAAGTTTAGGGTTTGAGGGCTTGAGGTGCAATCTTAGAGTTTGAGGTTCAATCTTCAAAGTTCGGTGGGTGTAGAACCGGGTTTCGATTTGTAAGCGTTGAAGGCATATGCTGTTTCGGGTTTCTGTAGTTCAGGGCCCCGAACGTTTTGATATTTTTGGTTGGCAACTCAATCAGGAGTGTACATCCAGACCCTAAGCCCTAAACTTAAACCCTACACCATCCACTTTGCCTAGGGTCTCGTGTAAAGGAACCGCTTCGTCTTCGGAACTGCTGAAAGGTCTGTCCCTAAGCTCTGGCTGGTACGGTTGATGATATAAATCCTGCATTACCTTAAGGACCCTAAACTATGGGAATTATGGTATACTCCTTATTATGGGTAGTGCAGGATTTCTATCATCAACCGTATGTCCAGAGACTCCAAGGCCCCTCCATTATGGAATGCACGTTAAACTATATAGGGCATCCCTAATATATGGTTTTAGGGTTTAGGGTTTAGGGTTTAGGGTCCTGAATTCAAGGGTTTTGGAGGCTCTGGGTGACTGGCGCCCTAAACCCTAAACCGAGTTAAGATCTACTCCTTTTGCTTCTCAACGCTCCCACTCTGATGCCGACGAGCGCCTCGGTGGTTGGAACCGGGTTCGTGGAATGCGGTAGACTCTGCAGTAGGTATAGTGGTCTACATCCCAGTACTTGTTTGTATTAATCAAGATGTACGTGTGTATACATACATACATACATACATACATACATACATACATACATTGTCATACATACACACATATGCATATGTGTGTATACACATAAAAGAAGATAGCATTGCTTACGGCTGACTGGGTCAGGCACGATCCTTGTTGCAGCACCTGGGCGCATGGCCTACTGAGGACGGCCCGACCCTCAGGAACGCCATTTTGGGTTTGGGAGGTGGGCGGCACAAAATGAGGGTTTTCCCTGAGGCTCTAAGGACTCATATTTTAAGGCCTTTGGACCCAAAGACCATACTACATAAGGCTTTTGGGCAATTTTGAGCCTTAGGGTATTGTTTAGAAAATCTCACACTAGCACTGGGCTGCAGGTTCCCTAGGTGGGGTTGGAGATCCGAGTGCGGTGCGACTACCGTAGGGTTGACGCTGTTGGGCACTTAGGGCGTTTTTTGTAGGGCTAGGGTTCCTAGTGTTTCGTAGCTGCAGCTTTAAAGAACCATCTAAATAACTTATTCAAATCCCAGAAGCCTGACCCCTGGACCCTAGGTTTGCGAAAGCTGCGCTGTACGTAGGGGCAAGAACTAAACCCATAACTCTGAACCCAAACCAGGCAAGCAAAATCCTTGACAGAACCTTACCTGTTGACCCCAGAAAAGTAACCCTCAAAAAGTAGCGTGCGGAAGTTCTAATAAAATTTTGATTAAGCCAAAAGCAGCCGCTCAAACAAGAAACAAGAATCTTCGATAGAAGACATCAATTCGTAACTCATCTGAACAGACGGTATGAAACCCAAGTTTTGAAATCCATCAACCCTGTAATTGATCTGCAAAGTTTGTATTGGCCACGCGCTAAACCCTAACCCCCCGTCAAAAAAACAACACACGAGCCGGCAAACTCTGGACCCCTAGACCCTAAACCCCTAAACCCGGAAACCCATAAACCCTAAACCCTAAGCAAAAAAGCAGCAAAACATGAAACCCTAAACCTGAGTCCCTATAGAACCCTTACAGGAACCCTTAAAGGAACCCTTGAAGAAACCCTAAAAGGAACCCTTAAAGGAACCCTAAAAATGCGGTCGGCAAGGCTTGGAGCTTCTTCGGAACCTGGGCCTCGCCTTGCGGAAGAAAGGCGCCGGCTCCTTCGGTGTTCAGGGTTAGACGGTTTAGAGTTTAGGGTTTAGGGTTTAGGGTTCTGGGGGTTATAAGGCTTCCTTTAAAGGGATCTATAGGGTTCCTTTGAAGGGATCTAGAGGGTTCCTTTAAGGGATCTATAAGGGTTACTTTAAAGGGATTAGGGTTTGGGTGGTTCCTTTGAGGGTTCCTTTAAAGGTCCCTGAAGGGTTCCTTTAAGGGTTCTGTAGGGATTCGGGTTTAGGGTTTTAGGGGTTCAGGATTTAGTGGTTTAGGGTTTTAGGGTTCAGTGGTTTAGGGTTTGAGCGTTTGAGGGTTTAGGGTTTTAAGGTTTCGGGGATTAGGGCTTTAGGGTTTTAGGGTTCAGTGGTTTAGGGTTTTAGCGTTTGAGGGTTTTAAGGGTTAGGGGATAATAAGGGTTTAGTGGTATAGGGTGTCAGGGTTGGAGGGTTTAGGGCTTTAGGGTTTTAGGGTTTTGGGTTCTAGGGTTTGGGTTTTAGGGTTTAGGGGGTTGGAGTTCAGGGTAAAAGCTTTAGGTTCCTTAAAACGGGGCATAGGTTTTTCCTAGTTCCTTTAAAGGATGCCTTAAGGGTCTATAGGGTTTGGGGTTTAGGGCTTAGGGAAAAACTCGAGACGTGGTGGCATAGGCTTTTTCTAGAAGGTGCTTAAATCACGGCATAAATTCTTCCATAATTCGACGTCGATGCCTCAATGCAGGAAATATGGATCTCGATGTGTTCGACCTGCATTTATGTTTAGCATGCGTTTAGGATGGTAAGTACTCCAGCTTTTTTCTGGATTGTGGAGTTTAGGGCGTAAGGGCTGATAGCTACGTCATGGATGGTCTCAGAGACTTGACGGTTTTCTCAGAGTTAATTAGGGCCCATAGAGTTCAGGAAGCAGGGTTCTCGTACGTTTAAGCTTTTAAAGCATAGGACCGGTGCAGGCTCACTTTGCCCGAAAACTCTATGCCAACGATTCAGCCCTGACCCGGTACACCCATATACTATATGTATCACCGTGAACTGCAAAACCTAAAAGCTTTAGCCACTCCTGAGCTGACTCCAACCCCCAATTGGACCCGAAGGGTAGAGAGAGAGGTCCGGCTTGCCCCCAAACCCGGAACCCTAAACCCCAAACCCCAATAACCTCTTTAACCCTGAAAGGTGATGTCCTGGATGCTGCTGCAGTCTTCCAGGAGGTGTATGGGTTCTGGGTCCAGGGTTCTTTCCTAAGTTTAGGAGATGAGAGTTTACGATTCTAGTGTTTAGGCATATTCAAAAAGCCGTACACAGCGCGGTTGAGTTTAGGAGTTAGGAGTTGGGAGTTACCTGAACCCTAAACCTTAAACCCCTGGGACAAAGAATGCAGACACAACTGCACGCTCTCACTTCACACTAGCTTTTTTTCCGACCTCTCTGAGCCTGAGCCTGGGTTTGCAAAGTGAGCGCCCGGTTTGCCCTAAACCCCTGGGAGTTAGGCCGTAAACCCTAAACCCCTAAGCCCTAAACCCCTGGGAGTTAGGCCCTAAACCCTAAACCCCCAAGCCCTAAACCCCTGGGAGTTAGGCTTGAAGCTTCTGAAAGGTGAGGTCAGGGTGTCTAGGTTGTGGGCCCCAAAGCTCCTTCTTCTAACGATAATAAACCCTCAACCCTAAACCTTAAGCCCTAAACCTAACTATAATATTCAGGGCTTAGGGCCGTCTTTGTCTCGAGATTTTCGGTTACGCCTGCATGCATTTATCTGTATCTATTTATGTGGATATTTGTAATATGCAGAATCTATATATATATATATATATATTCATATATATGTGAGTACTAGACACATAAACACGTACACACAGCTGTACACAAGTGAATACACATATGTGTTGCGGGTACTAGCATAATGTAGGTGGCATGAGGAGTAGTTGTTCTTCTTTGCTAAAATATGTTGGAGTACATGGGTGTTGTCATGAAATCCCAAACCTTCCTCCCGGTCCTACCCCAGACCCCGCATTCTCGGAAGCTGTTTCCAACATGTCGAGAAATGACTGCACAAAAGTATATACGATATGGGTACATGGAGCCTTTGGGTTAGGGGTCATGTAAGGGTTCCTACAAGGCTTCCTTTGCGGGCTCCTGTAGGGCTTTCCCACAAGGGCTTCGGGTTTTAGGGATGAGGGTGTACCTATACTCTCCATTGTAGTTCCTTTTTTTGGTTATCCAGTTTTATGGTTAGGATCCTCTAATAGAGATTTTGGTTATCCAAAAAAGAAAAAAAGGAACTACAATGGAAACTATAGGTACTCCCTATCTCTCACCCAAAGGCTCCATGTACCTTGATAGTAGATACTTTGGCCTTAAAGTAGTCCCTATATAGGTACTTTAAGGTCTAAGTCTAAGTATGTAAGGTACCCTAAACCCTAAACCCTAAAGGTAGGGATTAGGAGGGCAGCCCAAGAGTCCCCGCCTCGGAAGGCTCGGCGAATTCGCGAGCAGCTGGGGACACTCACAACACCAGCGGGCGCAAGGTCGGATGTGGGGTTTAGGGTTTAGGGGTGTAAGGGTGTTTGGGGGTTAAGGTTTGGGGTTTAAGGTTTGGGGTTTAAGGTTTAGGGTTAAGGGTTTGGGGTTTAAGGGTTGGGGTTTAAGGTTTAGGGTTAAGGTTTTGGGTTTCAGGTTTGGGGTTTAAGGTGCAAGGTGTAGTTGACTGGATGAGTGCAGATCTTAGTGTGTTCTAAGTGAGGAACACTCCTTGAAATCGCGTTCGGGATCCTTTCACATAATGTAGAGGACACTTCTTGATCGAGCTACTAGGGTGCATTGGAAAGATCAGGTAGGCTTTCATGTAAACACCTCGCCAGGGCACAGCTAATGCTAAATGTCCAGGTTTCTCCTCATCCGGCTGTGCACAGTCCAGGAATGTGTCGGGGCTTCAAGTAAACCTGCGTTTATACCGCGCCTTATCTTGATAGCTAATTAATAAATGTTGTGTATGTCCACTGTTTTGCATAGCTTATGGATCGCATTCTTCACTGGAACAAGGTTCCTCAAAACCTTGGCTTTTGGCATCTGAGTGGCCCCGAACCCATGCCGTCGCCTCCAATACCTGGGTTCTTGTTATGGAATTTGATTTAGGTCACTTTTTTTGTGAATCCCTTTTCTGGTAACTTAAGTTAAGGTCCTTAACAAGAACCCAGATGCAGCATGTCGAGGCTTCTGACCAACTTCGGAGTAGCTGTCGCGTCCCTCGGGCGCTGGCACAGTGCTCTCGAGTCCTGCGAGGAAGCATGGCGCAGCTTGGTCGCCAAGGCACAGAAGCTCTAGAGGCGTATGGGGCTGAAGCTTGTCGGGAAGTGGGTGTTCGGGTGAATAGAGCTTAAACGATTTGAGACGTTCGATCTCTCGTGTTACCGCTTGAGGCAGCCCTTAAGTGTACCACAAGGCTTCGAGAGGGGCATTATAAAGGATCCATAAAGTGAGGGTAGAAGCGTTCAACTAGGGGACCCTCAGGATCTACAAGCGTACCTACCGTAAGGGTCGAGGGTTCAGGGCACAGGGATATATATTTTTTTTCATGGCACTACCCGAGATCTTTAAGCGCACCATGGGGGTTCAGGGTTTAGGGTATAAGGGCTCTATATGGGCAATGCCAAGGATCTCTGCCTCTCGCTGAAAGAGGTATGTCCTGTCTGGCCCAAGACCTGACGTGCTCCACCAGTCCCAGAGACTCCAACATCCCTTAGTAAAAGGAATAAGAACATATATATATATATATATGTAAGAGAAACCTTTATGTATTATGTGACGCTTCTTTTTCTTGGGCAGGGTTTCAATAGTTTCAGAAGTTTCAATAGTTTCAATAGTTTTGCAAGTTCGGCCTCAACCCGAGAATTATTGAAAGTTTTGGAACCCTGCCCACCTTCATCCCGTACCTTTCAAAACTTTTGAAACTATTGAAACTATTGAAACTATTAAAACTTTCAACAGAGGGAGGGCAGGGTTTCAATAGTTTCAAAAGTTTCAATAGTTTCAATAGTTTCAAAAGTTTTAGAAGTTTCAAAAGGCAGCCCGCCCGAGAACTATTGAAAGTGTTGAAACCCGGCCCACCCTCATCCCGCACCTTTCAAAACTTTTGAAACTATTGAAGCTATCAAAACTTTCAAAAGAGGGAGGGCAGGGTTTCAATAGTTTCAAAAGTTTCAATAGTTTCAAAAGTTTTAGAAGTTTCAAAAGGCAGCCCGCCCGAGAACTATTGAAAGTTTTGAAAACCCGGCCCGCCCTCATCCCGTACCTTTCAAAACTTTTGAAACTATTGAAACTATTGAAACTATTGAATCTTTCAAAAGAGGGAGGGCAGGGTTTCAATAGTTTCAAAAGTTTCAATAGTTTCAAAAGTTTTAGAAGTTTCAAAAGGCAGCCCGCCCGAGAGCTATTGAAAGTTTTGAAAACCCGGCCCACCCTCATCCCGGACCTTTCAAAACTTTTGAAACTTTTGAAACTATTGAAACTAGTAAAACTTTCAAAAGAGGGAGGGCAGGGTTTCAATAGTTTCAAAAGTTTCAATAGTTTCAATAGTTTCAAAAGTTTTAGTAGAAGTTTCAAAAGGCAGCCCGCCCGAGAACTATTGAAAGTGTTGAAACCCGGCCCACCCTCATCCCGTACCTTTCAAAACTTTTGAAACTATTGAAACTATCAAAACTTTCAAAAGAGGGAGGGCAGGGTTTCAATAGTTTCAAAAGTTTCAATAGTTTCAATAGTTTTAGAAGTTTCAAAAGGCAGCCCGCCCGAGAACTATTGAAAGTGTTGAAACCCGGCCCACCCTCATCCCGCACCTTTCAAAACTTTTGAAACTTTTGAAACTATTGAAACTATTAAAACTTTCAAAAGAGGGAGGGCAGGGTTTCAATAGTTTCAAAAGTTTCAATAGTTTCAATAGTTTCAATAGTTTCAGTTTTAAAAGTTTCAAAAGGTACGGGATGAGGGTGGGCTGGGTTTCAATAGTTTCAATAGTTCAAAAGTTTTAGAAGTTTCAAGAAGCAGCCCGCCCGAGAACTATTGAAAGTGTTGAAACCCGGCCCACCCTCATCCCGTACCTTTCAAAACTTTTGAAACTATTGAAACTATAAAAACAATTAAAACTTTCAAAAGAGGGAGGGTAGGGTTTCAATAGTTTCAAAAGTTTCAACAGTTTCAAAAGTCTTAAAAGTTTCAAAGGGTACGGGATGAGGGTGGGCTGGGTTTCAATAGTTTCAATAGTTTCAATAGTTTCAAGAGTTTTAGAAGTTCCAAGAAGCAGCCCGCCCGAGAACTATTGAAAGTTTTGGAACCCGGCCCACCCTCATCCCGTACCTTTCAAAACTTTTGAAACTTTTGAAACTATTGAAACTATTGAAACTATTGAAACTAGTAAAACTTTCAAAAGAGGAGGGTAGGGTTTCAATAGTTTCAAAAGTTTCAATAGTTTCAAAAGTTTTAAAAGTTTCAAAAGGTACGGGGTGAGGGTGGGCTGGGTTTCAATAGTTTCAATAGTTTCAAAAGTTTCAAAAGTTTCAAAAGTTTTAGAAGTTTCAAGAAGCAGCCCGCCCGAGAACTCTTGAAAGTGTTGAAACCCGGCCCACCCTCATCCCGTACCTTTCCAAACTTTTGAAACTATTGAAACTATTAAAACTTTCAAAAGAGGAGGGTAGGGGTTCAATAGTTTCAAAAGTTTCAATAGTTTCAATAGTTTCAAAAGTTTTAAAAGTTTCAAAAGGTACGGGATGAGGGTGGGCTGGGTTTCAATAGTTTCAAAAGTTTCAAAAGTTTCAATAGTTTCAAAAGTTTTAGAAGTTTCAAAAAGCAGCCCGCCCGAGAACTCTTGAAAGTGTTGAAACCCGGCCCACCCTCATCCCGTACCTTTCAAAACTTTTGAAACTATTGAAACTATTGAAACTATTAAAACTTTCAAAGAGGAGGGTAGGGTTTCAATAGTTTCAAAAGTTTCAATAGTTTCAATAGTTTCAAAAGTTTTAAAAGTTTCAAAAGGTACGGGATGAGGGTGGGCTGGGTTTCAATAGTTTCAATAGTTTCAAAAGTTTCAATAGTTTCAAAAGTTTTTGAAGTTTCAAAAAGCAGCCTGCCCGAGAACTCCTGAAAGTGTTGAAACCCGGCCCACCCTCATCCCGTACCTTTCAAAACTTTTGAAACTATTGAAACTATTGAAACTATTAAAACTTTCAAAAGAGGAGGGTAGGTTTTCAATAGTTTCAAAAGTTTCAATAGTCTCAATAGTTTCAAAAGTTTTAAAAGTTTGAAAAGGTACGGGATGAGGGTGGCCCGAGAACTCTTGAAAGTGTTGAAACCCGGCCCACCCTCATGCCGTACCTTTCAAAACTATTGCAACTATTGAAACTATTAGAACTTTCAAAAGAGGGAGGGTAGGGTTTCAAAAGTTTCAATAGTTTCAATAGTTTCAAAAGTTTCAAAAGGTACGGGATGAGGGTGGGCTGGGTTTCAATGGTTTCAAAAGTTTCAATTGTTTCAATAGTTTTAAAAGTTTCAATAGGTACGGGATGAGGGTGGGCTGGGTTTCAATAGTTTCAATAGTTTCAAAAGTTTCAATAGTTTCAAAAGTTTTAGAAGTTTCAAGAGCAGCCCGCCCGAGAACTATTGAAAGTTTTGGAACCCGGCCCACCCTCATCCCGTACCTTTCAAAACTATTGAAATTGTTGAAGCTATTGAAACTTTCAAAAGAGGGAGGGTAGGGTTTCAATAGTTTCAAAAGTTTCAATAGTTTCAATAGTTTCAAAAGTTTTAAAAGTTTTAAAAGGTACGGGATGAGGGTGGGCTGGGTTTCAATAGTTTTTAATAGTTTCAAAAGTTTCAATAGTTTCAAAAGGTTTAAAAGTTTCAACAGGTACGGGATGAGGGTCGGCAGGGTTTCAATAGTTTCAATAGTTTCAATAGTTTCAAAAGTTTTAAAAGTTTCGAAAGTTTCGAAACGCCCTGCCTGACCCTGCCCTGCCCTGCGCCTCCTGCCCCGCCCCTGTTCCCTGCCCCTACCCTGCCCTGCTGCCTTTGCGCCCCTTCCCCTTGCCCCTTCCTTTTTTCTGCCCCTACTGTTCTTGTCCCTGTTCCTGCTGCTTTGGCGTGAGGGCAGCGAAGCCGCCCTGTCCCTGCCCCTGCCCTGCCCCTGCCCCTGCCCCTGCCCCGGCTAGGCTGGCTTCCTTGTTATCCAATCAAAATTCCCCTAGTTTCCCTTAAAGGGTCGTCGATTTCCCTTACGGTTCCCCTAAACCGTCATTGATTTTCCCTTTATGAATTCCCTCAATCTTGTCGGTTGACCAGGAAATCACAGAAAGTTGTGATTCATTTCACGCACCGTTGCCGTATTGCACGGCTGCATTTTCCGGAGAGTTTCCTTCACAAGCCTGGTGCTGTCGAAGCGCTGCGTTTGCCGACAATGAGGACAGTAAAGGGCGGTTCAATAGCACCAAATTTTCTAGATGGTTTCCCTTAGGAAAATCGGCGCTATCGAACGGTTGCGTTTTCCAGACCTGAACACAGCGGTTCGATAGCACCGAGTTTTCCGGAAGGTTTCCATAAGAAAATTCGGTTCTATTGAACCGCTTTGTTCTCCACTGCCAGAACTGGTATGGACCACGAAAAGCGGCGGTTCGATAGCACTAGTTTTTCTGAAGCTGTCTCGCTGTTACGTCAACATAAAATTAGTCAAGAAGGGCGGTTCGACAGCATCTGTTTTGCTGAAGTGGTACTTTCACAGATTATTGTGACGCTGTGTGTTTCCCTTTCCTAATATTCGGTATAGCTATTGAACTCCCGTGTTTTCCCATACTGAAAACACTGAGGGTTGAATCAAGTTTTCAGCAGGAGTCCCTTTCATCGAATTTGGTGCTATCGAATTGTGTTATCTTTATACGGCAAAAAACAGGCCAGGATTGTTGGACAACATACTATTTGGTCTGCAGTGTTGTAGCAAGTCGCCGTTATACTCCAACAGTGTTCCCTTGGCAGGCTTGAGGATAGGTAGGGTGCAGTAATGCGTTTAGTTACATCAAGAAATTCGCTAGTGCTCCCGAAATATCACACAACTGCGACGTCTAACCTCACGCCGCCCGAAGTTGAAAACCGACGTCTAATTAGCTTGTAGGTTGTTGCGGCATTTTTCCAAGTGTTTGGGGATATTACTTCGAAAAGAAGAACTGCCATCAACGAACATGTCTCGAATCAACCAGCGTTCCACATCCGGAGCTCTCTAGACCCTGCACCCTCAAGTCGATAGCCCAACACTCGCAATTCTGGTTTCCCCTTCTCGCCTGGACAGTCCGAGTTGACGATGTCCCAAAGCCTGAAACCCTACAACTTAAATGTACCGTGCTTGAAAGACCCATGCCGCCAAGCCCCAAAGCTACAACACCGAAGGCACGGCACCCAGCGGCCGCACGGGGCGCCAGTTTTGGGATGCGACGTCAGATCTTTAAGACGGTGGGTTTGTAAGAACTAATGAAGTGCTGCTACAATGGCTTCAAACTCTGTTGACATGCTCTGCTCCAAGCACGGACCCTCAGTTGTGGTGCCCATTCTACGAGTTTTCGGCTTTGACTTCCACCCTCTTGCTCCCCCTGTCCTTTTCTAGCTATGGGCAGCAGCACTGAGAGAAAGTTGAAAAAGGCAGAGGTCAACCTCGAAGTTTTGGAACTCGAGGATGCGGGTTCCAAATCCTTATGTTTTTTTGGCTAAGAGGGTTCTCGTGATTTTGGACATGAAAGACCGCCGGAGAGTTTCCTTCACAAGCCTGGTTCTATCGAAGCGCTGCGTTTGCCGATAATGAGGACAGTAAAGGGCGGTTCAATAGCACCAAATTTTCTAGATGGTTTCCCTTAGGAAAATCAGGCGCTATCGAACGATTGCGTTTTCCAGACCTGAACACAGCTTTTCGATAGCACCGAATTTTCCGGAAGGTTTCCATAAGAAAATTCGGTTCTATTGAACCGCTTTGGTCTCCATTAAGGTCTGGGGAGCTTCATCCCTTCTTCTTGAAGCGTACACTCCCTTCCATTTTTTTGTTTGAAGAGCAAGAGGAGATAGTCTTCTTCCGCTTGCCGAGAGAGAAAGGAGGTCTCTTGTTGCCGACTGATGGGTAAGCGGACCTCTCTTCTTTCTCGATGGCTTGGCGGGGTCTGTCTGTATTTTAGATTTGGAGCTCTCCTCTTTCTCGTGAACTTGGAGGAAGCTCTCTTCTTGTTGTAGGCTGGGGGAGCTCTCTCCTTTCGTGCTAGGAGTGGGAGCCCTTCAATCTTCTTCAAAGACAATGACGGCTTCCCAAAAAGGTTAGGGAGGTCTCTTCTAGAAAAATCTTCTTTCTCGTGAAGTTCGCGGGCCCTATCTGCTATCTTGAGATGGGGCCTTCTTCTTTCTGTTTATGATGGAGGAAGCTCTCTTCTGGTACAGGATGAGGTAGAGAACTTTGAACTTATAAGTTCTTGTGGAAGACTGAGTGAGCCCTGTCCATATTTACTAGGATCAGGAGCGAGCTGTCTTCCGTCTTCTTAACATTAAGATGAAGACTTACCAAGAGGTCAAGGAGCTCTCTAGACAGAAGCTCTAATCTCGTACTAAGAATAACTTGGAGTGAGCTATCTTCCGGTTTCCAGAGGATGAGGTACAGGACTTCTCATCTCCTTTTGAGGCCCCGGGGAGGACCAGACTTCTCTTGTGAAGTTTTTTGAAGTTGGGAAGAGCTCCATCCTTTTTTCTTGATTGTAAGCTCTCTCCATGTCTTGAAGCGGAGGAGGGGGGCTGAGGAGCTCTCGCCCCTGACTAAGAGAGAAAAGAGTTTTCTTCTTGTCGACAGAGAGGCAAGCAAAGCTCTTTTCCTTCTCGAGAAGTTAGAATGGCCTCTCGTCTGAGTTGTTAGGAGGCGAAATTGGAGGGAGCTTTCTTCTTGTTCTCGATGATAAGGTAGAGAATTCATACGTTGTTTTTGAAAGCGGGGGGGGGGTCTCTGTCATCTCTTGCTGGGAGCGAGGACTGAGAGGCGACTTCCAAGAGCTAATGGAGCTCTCTTCTCTTGCCACGAATAACTTGTCGGGGTCGCTCTGCCTGTTTGAATGCATGAGGTGGAGGAGTTCTCTCTTTCTTTTTGAAGATTGAGGGGCGGACCTAGCTACCTTGTTTGCAGGTTGAAGGGAACTCCACCCTCTCTTCTTGAGCGCATGCACTCCTCCATCTTTTGAAGAAGCAAAGTGGGCAATCAAGATCCTTCTCCCTTACCAGGAGCGGAGGTCTCTTCTTGGCGGCTGAGGGGTAAACGCAGCTCTCTTCTTTCTCGATGGTTTGGAGGGGCCTGTCTGTCTTTTTACGATGGAGCTCCCTTATGTCTCAACAAATTGGAGGAAGCTCGCAGTGACCTCTTGTCGAGGATGAGGTGAGGACTTTTCTTGTTGGAAGCTAGGGCAGCTCTGTCCTCCCGCGCTAGGAGCGAGATCTTTTCAATCTTCTTGAATCGAAAACTCTCTTCTTGTTTTGGAGCATGAGGTGGGGAGACTAACCTTTCCTTTTCGAAGGCTGGGGGGAGGACGAGATTTCTTTTTTTGAAGCCATTGAAGCCTGGGGAGAGCTCCACCCTTTCTTGAGCGTATGTTCTCTTCCGTCTTTCGTTTGCAAGTCAGCGGAGTAGTCAGGATCTCGATCTTTCCCTTTGTTAGAGAGAAAGGAGGGGGTTTCTTGCCGACTGAGGGGTAAACAGAGCTCTCTTCTCTCTAGATAGTTTGGCAGGGCCTGTCTGCTTTTGTGAGATGGAGCTCTCTTCTTTCTCATGAACTTGGAGGAGGCTCTCTTCTTCTTTTTGTAGGCTTGGGGGTCCTCTCGTGCTAGGAGTGGGAGCCGTTCATTCCTCTTCAGATAAAATGAAAACTTAGCAACGGGTTCAGGAAATCTCTTCTAGAAAAAAATCTTCTGTTGCCAAGACCAGCTGGGCTCTTTCCTTGTCCCAGAGGACGAGGTAGAGGGCTGTTCGTTTTGTGTTGAAGATTGAGAGGAGGACCGGACTCTTCTTACAAAGGTCAAGGGAGCTCTGTTCTCACTTTTTGAAAATTAACTTTCTTCTATCTCTTGAAGGAAGGAACATGGGACGTCAAGGAGCTCTTCTCTCTCTTATTGTCGATTAAAAGGCAGCGGGAGCTCTTTTCTTTCTCGTGAAGTTGGAATGGGCTCTCTGCTTCGTTGAGATGCTGCGGTGGAAGACCTTCCAGCAGATCTCTTCTTTTACGCATAGAGAAAACTTTGCCCATGACGAGGTAGAGGAGCTAGGTTCGTGTTTGAGACTGGAGGGGCTTTGTCTTGTTTTGCTAGGAGCGAGCTCCCTTCAGTTCGCTTCAGAGGAGACGGAGATTTACCAAGAGGTCAATGAGTTCTTGTAGACAGCAACTGTCTTACAAGGTAGGTTGGAGGGAAATCTTTTCTTGCTTTGGAACATGAGGGAGGGGACTTGATTTGGGTTTTGAAGGCTGGGGGGAGAACCAGATGTCTCTTTTTGAGCTTGGGGGCCATTCCACCCTGTCTTGAACGTATGCTCTCTTCCGTTTTTTTTTGAATAATAAGTAAACGGGATAGTCAGGATCTCGATCTCTCCCTTATCTAGACAGAAAGGAGGTCTCTTCTTGCCGACTGAGCGGCAAGCGGAGCTCAGCTCTCTTCTTTCTCGATAGTTTGGCAGGGCCTGTCAAAAAGCTCTCTTCTTTCTCGATAGTTTGGCAGGGCCTGTCTGCTTTTGTGAGATGGAGCTCTCTTCTGTCTCATGAACTTGGACGAAGCTCTTGGTTTCTTTTTGTCGAGGATGAGGTAAAGGACTTGCCTTCTTGGAAGCTAGGGGAGCTCTGTCATTGTGTAGCCACCGACTGAACATCACAGTCCACGAATAATGCGGATACATCCGGCTTATTCTAAGCGCAAGCACGGTGCTGCGCAGCGAGCTACCATAATCAGGGTTGGTTTTCCTCCTTGTTGAACGTTTTGTAGCCCCTGGCTGCACATCACAGGAAGCACATAGTCTCCGCACAGTTCTCGCCCGGTCTGCTGTGCGTAACATTGTTCTATGAAGTTCTATGTGTTACATGTTAGGGCATGCGCAAATGCTGATCCCAAACAATGTGTTCCGAATCAAGCGTGCAAAATGCTGTCGTCCTCATGGAAGGCTTTCCAGCCACTGACTGAGCGCCACAACCAGTACATGTTCTCCTTGAGCATGATATGTGGGCTATCATGCGAGGATATTTGCCAGTGTGTGTGTGTGTGTGGTTGCGTACTGTATACTCTCACGTAAGCCCTTCCTGCAATATAGCACAAGGGACATGTCACATTTTACGTAAAGGTTCCTGCAACATATATATATATATATATATGTATACATATATTATATTCGGGATCCTACTACAATGTAGGATATGTTCCTTCATGAAGGGATATTGGAGTCTCTGGGGGTACTGAAGACCCAAGAGGCAGCGCCCAACGAAGAACCGAGGGCCGGCGCGGACACCGCCTCCCTCCGGGAGGGGAATGCTGTACATTGTAATGTACGTTTTTTTTACACCGATGTAAAAAACGTACATTACAATGTACAGCTCCAAATCACAACGGGAAACCAAATGCTGCAGGACTTTTGCACCCTGGCTTTGGGCAAAGTGATACCCGTTTTTGCGAGGCTTCTGAGCAACCGGGTAGACCTTGATGCTCTTCTGGTGGCATACCGTGATAGCACACCCAAGAACTGCCAGGAAGATCGCTACATCCTGGAAACGGCATGGGTGACACACTGTCTGCGGGTTGCTACAGGCGAATCCAGGGGTGCTGAGATCCCAGAAACTTCGATAAGGGTCTAGGGTTTGGGGTCTACAAGGGTTCTGTAATGATACTCCGGGTTCTACAAGGGCACGATGAGGGTTTAGGACGTAGGGTGTGTAAGGGTCCATGTGCCCATACAGTTTCTTATGGTATGCACTTTGTTTCACCACGGAGCACCCTCTGTGCAACCACTTTAACTAAAGACCCTATATAAACCCCTAAACCCCCCTAAAGCCCAAAACAATAGATCCAGCCCAAGGCATCCACGAGGCGTGTGGCACATTGGACTCCCCGGAGGGTGCTGGGCTCCTGCTGAACATTGGCCGCTGGAGCTGCACTCTAAACCTTAATTCCTCAAGTCAGGGTTTATATAGGTTGTTGGGTCTACAGGGTATCGAGTCTACCATACATTCACGTCAATCGAGCTTTTAGGGTGTGCAGACTACACTGTTTCAGGTTTAAGGGTACCCGCTTGCAGAGCCATTTCAAGGTTGTTGAAGGCTTCTCGTGGTGTTTGGACGTGGTGAAAGATGTGGGAGTTTCCCAGAACAGGGCACCCCAATATAGAACCCTGAATAGGAGGATCCTTATTGTAAGGACCCCAAACTAAGGAACCCCTAATTTTCGGAAACTCCCATGTATTTAGTCTTGCAGGTTTGGTCAAGTGAGCTCAATTTAAACAAACCTCGTAGTAGAGCAGGTAACGTTTAACTTCTTTTGGGTAGTATGGTCCCTATACAATCCCTATATGCCCAAAAAGGATAGCCTTTAGTTCCCCATGATACCCGACAGGTAGGCGAAGGTTTTTGCTTCAAACAGGCGTTAAGTTCAAACGAAGTTAAGAGTTTGGTGTCAAGCATGTTTTCAAGACCTCGGCAACTTAGCAGCCTACCTCTACGTAGCCCAAACGCCCGAACGCGTTCAGGATTTGTTTAACAAAACCACAGTCCGAAACCCGGAAAGGTAGGTTTTTTGGGCCACAGGGAACCTTGCAGGAGCCCTAAAAGAATCCCTCAAAAGCCTTCAAATGATCCTTTATTCCCTAACCCTTGAACCCGAATCATCCCATAAAGGAGCCATCAACCCTGAACCCCCAAACCCCGAACCGCTAGACCCCAAACCCATAAACCCTAAATCCTAAACTCCTGAACCCTCAACCCGTAAACCCCTAAACTCCAAACCCCTAAACCCTAAACCCTAAATACCCTAAGGCCCTAAGCCCTAAAAACCGAAGCGACCCCTGACCTTTCAGGCTGTTTCCGGCAGATGCTCGGCGACTTTACCGGCGCTCTCCGTGCAATGGAGGGCGCCAGCGAGATCAGGACGTTTGGGGCTTCAGGGTTTAGGATTTATATGGTTTAGGAATAGGATGTCGGGTTGAGGGTTTAGGATTTAGGGCTTCGGGTTTAGGGTTTTGGAAAGGTGTTGTGCTTTAAGGGTTTAGGGTTGGGTTTAGGGTTTAGTGAGGGTTTAGTGATTCAGGCTGGCGCCTTTTAGGGTGCTTTGGCATTTTAGGGTCGTGGTTTAAAATCCGGGTTTCAGGGTTTTGTGGGTTTCAATCGGTGGTTTTTGTGTTGAGGGCTCTGGAAGTTTTGGGCCTGAGATTTGCAGGGCTAGATTCCTTATGTCCGAGGGTGCAGGGCCAGGCAATGGGGTTGCAGCCGTTCAATAGGACAGGTTTCAGCTAGATCTTGCATGGCTTACGATTTGAATTCAGCGTTTTGAGTGAGTCGGCTTTCCTTTATAGTGTCTTCACAATTTTGGTGTTTTCAGACGTGGATTTGGTCCCGCATCATTCTTGGGGTTTGAAGCAGCCAGCGATGATAGTATGGCCCAGGATATCTGCAATAGAACATTAGATGAACATTAGGTAGTGCCTCATGTCTGAAGAAATATCAGATGTGCCGAAGGTGTCAGTCTCAACCCTCTCGCCAAAACCGTACTAGACCATGTGAGGTTTTTCTTCCCCGAGATGCTTTATTTCGTGCAGAGTCTGCGCGAGACAGCCAGACTTCGAGCTTGCAAATTGGCGCGCGGTACTCTCACTTTCGGAGTATTGCTAAGTCTGTTTTGCTGTCGCTTTGAGGCAGTGAGTGCGTCGTATGCAATCTCGGACACACATTGGCATCGAACTCCGAACGGCACCACATTCCGCGCCGCTGGAACAGATTCCAGCAGCACTGTCGGCACCGTTCTTCACCTTTCTTCGAGGTCGGTGAGTTTCTGCCATCGACATCAACATGCTGCGAACCCGTTTTGGGGTGCAGTAATCGCGATTATCGCCTAGCTTCAACATTTGCGCCTTACCTCTCGCACCCCAAAGATAAATAAAGACCTGAAAAAGGTGATCTGGAATCTGGAAAATATAAGGACTCAGTCCATTGCACAAAGCAAAGTCGCACCCCCCCCCAATCTCTAAACCCTACAACCTTAAACCCCAAACCCTCAAGGCCCTAAACGCCTAATGAGGACTCGGACCCGGCTAAATATATAGCACAAAGGCCCAGGAGCCGCAAACCCCAAACCCGGATGCCGCGAGAGTCAAAACTCGACAAGCTAAACCCCAATCACGGTTTAGGGGTGTAGGGTTTAGGGGTTTAGGGTTTAGGGCATAACGGGTTTAGCCCGTTTAGCCTTTAGGGTCCTGGGCTGCTCATCGAACCCTATAAAGACACTCGACCATCGCACTATACTGCAAAGCAACCTAAGGCTTGCTACATGAAGCACCCTCCACCTCTATCTTTGAGAACCCGAGACAAGCCGAACCCCATAGACCTAGAGGAAATCCTGAGAAGCAGAAAGAGGCTGAACCAAACGACTTCTATCATGCCCAGAACCTTTCTTATGTTATCCAGCCCACGTCCTGTCATGATCAAAAGAGACAGAAACACAGTTCACAAAATAAGGACATCAACTAACGACCGTTGAGAGCCCTGAGCCCGAAACCGTAAACCCTAAATCCTAAACCCTAAATCCTAAACCCTAAACCGAAATCCTGAAATCCTAAACCCTAAATCCTAAATCCTAAACCCTAAATGCTAAACCCTAAACCGAAATCCTGAAATCCTAAACCCTAAATCCTAAACCCTAAACCTTGTTCGTTGAGAGCCCTGAGGAGCCGCACCGGCACGGCGAGCTCCATTGAAGCCGCGGAGCTCCAGCGGGCGATGGGCAGCGTCTACTTGGCCCAAGGTGGACCTTGGGATCGGAGAGTCCGAGAACCTACCGTTTTAAGGGTTCTACCTTCTAATTCAGGGGTCATAACCTACTATTTTGGAGGGCATGTTGGGCATGTTTAGATGGGTGGTTGTCAAAATTAGGGTCCCTTATTGGGTACCCTAAATATGAGGTGCCGTATTATAACAAGGACCCAAAAAGGGACCATAATCTTGACAACCACCCATGGTGTATGTCATAAGAGGGCTTTAAGGATCTTTAAGGTGTAGCTGTGTATGGTTGCATAAGGGCGTCTATCGGAAAAAAATGGGTGTTACAAGGGTGTTATTCAGGCTGCATAGGCGTTTGTACAAGCTTATATTTCAGAGGGCGTAGTGTTTGCAGGGTTGTGTAAGGGGGCTGTGGGCTTTGCTTTTCTCATTGACAATCATATGGTGCTTCTTCAATGGCGTACTTCTTCAGTGGCCTTTGCAGCCAAGAAGCAGATTCCGAAAAAATCTTTCAAATGGCTGGAATGATACAGAATGTTTTGGAATGTTCAGCGGCGTCCAGCAACAGCCAAAATAGGCCCAAAACGATGCCTTGCTTCAACCTCTGATGCATGCGGTTGGGATTTTTTCGGACAAGCCAATCCAACATTTGGAAATGTTCGCTAAGATTCCGAAAAATACCCAAACATTCCGAAACATTCCAAAAAGTTTCAAAAAATTATTTCCGGACCGCGTATGTGCGGTTTTCAATTCTCTCGACCTTTGCCTGCTGGCAAGGGAAATGCTGCCCAATTCTTTGCGGCACATTTTCTTTGCTGACAGACCTCGACCCAATGTTCTGGAATTTTTTGGAAGGTTTCAGAATGTTGTGGCATGAAAAGGTACGTTTTGGAATGTTTCAGGTGTTTAAAGCAAATTCCGGAATTATGAGCGAGGTCGGGGCTAACTCTGAAGAAGAACCCTGTTGAAAAAGAACCATAAGATTGTTTAAGATTTTCAATGAAACTTAGAGATTAACATTTGGGGCTTAGGGTGGGTGTTCAGGGTTCGAGGCTTGAGGGTTTTGGGGCTGGACTATGCTGTTTAACAATTCTTGTTTACACGATACTGCTTCAGCCAAGGCAGCCAAGCTTCAGTCGGCAATAATTAATACATATATATATATATATATATATATATATATATATATATACATACAAATACGTATATATATACATATATATATATATATATATATATACACACATATATATATATATATATACACATACACACAGAGCCTGATGGCTTTTTTTATGATAACGGTCCAGGCTTGGGCTGCGTGCGGTCAAGAGTTTAGGGATGTCATTCGTGGCTTTTTCTTGGTGCTTTCATGCGTCTACACATTCCCGGCATAAGAAGTGCCTATAGAATCTTTTCCTCTCACCCCTCGCATGCAACTCGAAAGCCAAGTCCCACGTACGCTCTGAGCCTATGCCCCGAATGGAACCCTTAAACATCAACCCCAAAGCCTCAACCCTAATAAATCCCAAACCAGAAACCCCAAACCCAAAACCAAACCCTAGAAAGAAACAAATAGAAATTGTTTGTCTTCGTTTGTAACCACAGCCGCGGCCCAGCCCGGCCAAGCACCCCATACCCAGAATCAAAATGAAGCTGCAAAAGAGAATCTTTTCACGGAAGTTGTGCGTCGGACATTTCCAATTGGTTTCGAGATGTCGGCCAACCTTGCACTGGAGGTTATCAACCAACCCAGCCCCCTCCCTAACCCAGCCCCAGCACACGGCCGAAGCTTACCTTCCGGCCCACGGATCCCAAGACCACAGCCGCAGCCCAGCCCCCAGCCCACCAATGCCCGGCACCACGTTTGCAAAAAGATGCGTTTCGGTTTTACCTTACTTGTCCATATGGGTAGTTGTCAAAATTAGGGTCCCTTTTTGGGTACCCTAAATAATAGGTGCCTTATAATAGGTACCCAAAATGGGACCATAATTTTGACAACCACCCATATACCCTGTAAGGGTTCTAAGGTGCCTTTTAGGGTTGAGGATTTAGGGTCCTCAAAACTTTCGCTGAACATGTTCGGTCGAAACGCTGTTGGCACCCAAAACCCGTAACAATTTCTACAAACACTAAACCCCAAACAGGAGTTCTAGCGACCTTCATCTTGTCCTTCTGATCCCTGGCTCTCATAGCCCGATGTAGGTACTACTTATACAGGTTAACGTTTAGGGTTCAGGACTTAGATTTGGGTTTGGGGTTTAGGGGTCTAGGGTTCAGGCTTTCAGGGGTTTAGGGTTCAGGGCCTAGGTTTCGCGGTTCAGGACGGAGTTGTCAGTCAGATGTATGCTTGCAGTCTCGAGGCTCAACGTATGCAACATGACTGGGAGAATCGCAAATTGTTCGTTGTTTTTGACCACGGCCATCAGAAAGCAATCGTCAGGCTAACGACACTACACGACAAACAGGACCGCGCTGACAGTATCACCCCTGCTTCTTCAATGTACGTGCTACCCTTTCAACCGCCGAACCCACATATTTCCCTTGGCAGTGAGCAACATGTCGATTGCTGTAAAAGTTGGGCTGCTCAGCGGCAAGACCGCTACTGTGAAAGTTGGCTTCGATGAAGATGTTGAGACGTTAAAAAATCGGGCACAGACGGCACTCGGCGTCGGAAAAGGGCGTCTGGTGGACTCGTTTGGAAGCGTTTTGGATACGTATGCATCAATCAAGAATACCAACTTGAAGAACGGTGATTCGCTGACCCTACACATAAGCCCGGTTCAGGTATGCGGGACCGCCTACGCTTTTGCTACCGTTCTGGGCGATGGGTCTGTCGTGACCTGGGGTCTTGCTGGCCGTGGTGGTGACAGTTCTGCTGTGCAGGAACAGCTAAGGAACGTGCAGCAAATCCAAGCCACTAGCACAGCTTTCGCCGCCATTCTTGGCGACGGACGTGTCGTGACCTGGGGGGACACTCTCTATGGAGGTGACAGTAGTGCTGTGCAGGGTCAGCTGAAGAATGTGCAACAGGTCCAAGCAACTCACCATGGTTTCGCTGCCATTCTCGGAGATGGATCTGTGGTGACCTGGGGTGATTCTTCTCAGGGAGGTGATTGTAGTGCTGTGCAGGACCAGCTAAAGAATGTACAGCAAATCCGAGCCTCCGATGGTGCTTTTGCTGCCATTCTCAGTAACGGATCGGTTGTGACCTGGGGCGATGCAAACCGTGGCGCTAACTCTAGTGCTGTTCAGGATCATCTGAAGAATGTTCAGCATATACAAGGCGCTGAGTGTGTTTTTGCTGCTGTTCGTTCTGACGAATCTGTGGTGACATGGGGTCATGTTTCGTCTGGTTGTGATACGAGTGCTGTCAAGGAGCAGCTGAGGAACGTGAAGCAGATTCAAGCCTCGTACCGCGCTTTTGCTGCGATTCTTGCCGACAGGTCTGTGGTGACCTGGGGTTTTCCTATCTATGGTGGTGACAGTGGTTCCGTGCAGGATCGGTTGAGGAATGTGCAGCAGATCCAAGCTACCAACAACGCCTTTGCTGCCATTCTTGACGATGGCTCCGTCGTGACTTGGGGTCATGCCCACAAAGGTGGTGACAGCAGCATTGTGCAGGATTCGCTTAAGAATGTGAAGCAGATCCGAGCCAGTGACGAAGCTTTTGCGGCCATTCTTGGCGATGGATCTGTCGTGACCTGGGGTGCTGAATGGGCTGGTGGTGACAGCAGTGCTGTGCAGGATCAATTGAAGAATGTGCAACAGATCCAAGCCTCTAAGCAGGCTTTTGCTGCCATTCTTGGTGATGGCTCCGTTGTGACCTGGGGTAGTGCAGACCATGGTGGTGACAGCCGTAGTGTGCAAGATCGGCTGAAGAACGTGTAGCAGTTAGCAGTGCTGACAACGGTGGTGACAACCGCAGTGTGCAGGATCGGCTGACGATCGTTTAGTAGCGCTGACCGTGGTGGTGACAGCCGTACAGAGCTGTGGAGTGACTGTAAGATGTGCTTCTGAGTTTCGATCTTGCCGACGTGAGAAATGAAATGTGTTCGCAGCCCCAAGAACCCGATGATAGTTGATCGTGCCGACAAGTGATTTTACATTCAAGTCAAGAGCACGTCGTAGCATGCCAGAATTAGGATGTGTATGTAGAGCATTGAGAAGTTTAAGGGCTTGCAGGCATCAGAGAAGTCAGGTTACGCGAGAGGATTCATGGTTTCAGATACAAGACATCGTGTTGGCATTCAGTCGGCGCGGTCTGGGTTACAGGATCTGCAGGAGGCGAAAGGCACTGGGCACCACGCAGTTGAACAGGCTTAGCATGCAGCATTTCGAGAAACTGCTGCAGAGTTTGACATGAGCGATCTATGGTCTTGTTCAGCGGAGTCAAATGCCTCCGCGCATACCAGCCCTCAATATGGACAGGTTTATCAATGTAAAATATTATCAATGTAAATATATGTATATACACATATATACGCATATACATATACACATATGTATAGACACATACATAGTGAGTACACATATTTTTATTGTGACCAACATACATACACACGTACCAACACACATACATACGAACATACATGCATACACACATACACTCTGACTTTCTTACTTACTTGCTGACTTACTTAATTACATACTTTCATATCTGCTTACAGGTTACATACTGACAATGTACATACTTATACATACTTACTTACATTCTTTAATACCTACATCCTGCCTGGCCTACTTACGTGCTTACCTACTTACACACATACATACATACATACATACACATACATGATTACATACTTACTACAACTTACATACTTCAACGTAGGTACATACATTCACACTTTTACTTGCTCTACGTCTACTTCTACTTGACTTATACTTCTACATATAGTTTTACTTATACATACATACATACATACATACGCACATATATGTAAGCACTCACATTTACACATATACACATACACAGAGAGATACATCGACAGATAGGCAGATGCAATGTACAAGCCATCAAAAGTATGTCCCAGTATGTTCTAACATATCTTGCATATTAGTATAATTGCTGCTCCAAGGGCCCTAAGAAGATGACGCCTGCATGATCAAACGAACTGGGCCAGATGATGCAAGCATCCTGAGTTTCCACTCGCCGTGCAAAAAACATGTGCATGTGTATATATGTATAGAGAGAGTGCGTGTGTATATGTTTGTATATATTATGCATAGATATTCTTGCATGTATCTACATAAGTATGTACGGATTCAGCGGCTGAAGCAATATGTTTCCCGTCACGATGCCGGTTTGCAGACTCAGTGTACTGCTGGGTGGTGACAGTCGCAGCACTTGGGCAAGTCGCACAAGTTTGCTTTAGTCATTTTGCGCATGAGACGATCATTATGAGTCACGATATAGATATAAAACTGTCACACGTGCATTCTGTAATGCCTGAGCGGTTTCTCTTCAACACCGCACCTCTCTGTCTCCAAGATTATGCTGCATCGCAGATGTTTGCCATCTGCCGTGATGCTTTCCTAGGTCGCGGCGTCATGAAACTTGATGTAAGGAATGTATCGTGTATGACTACACCATGGATCTCCTTTGAGAGCATGCTCGGTAACTGCAAACATGAAAACCTGGGCATGTTTTTGTTGTTGACATGATGAGGCAAGACCTGGGAAGAGCCCGGGCATTTCAGAGCAATTAGCTGTGACCATCACAGCAACACTGCATGAATAGCCACAGTCCTAAAAACCCACAACCCCTCACCCTAAAATCCTAAACCCACAACCCGTTACGCCAAAGCCCTTCACCCCGAAGCTCGAAACCCAACACCCTTATATCCAAAGCAAAAACAAATGGCAAACCCACAAGCCTTGAACTACAACAACCATGTGCCCAAGAACCCTAGGCCCGAAACCCTGAACCCTTTAAGGGACTCCAATGGTCTCATTCCGTCCGTGGCCCAAAGAGTCTGGCCACCTCAAATAATAAATTCTGGCATACAGAGGGATCCTTACTATTATGAGTTAAGCTTTATTCCTTATGATTTAAGATATTCCTCATTATGACTTAAGGTGTAACTCCTTGATGAAGATTTTTGAAGTCTCTTTTGGACGAGCCAGGTGATGCCGAGAAATCGCTGCAGCACTTCCACCAGTCGATGACTTTGCGAAACAAGCTGGGCCTCAAGCGCTTCCTGGCTAACAGGTTACAAGGGGTTTAGGCTTAGGGCTAATGGCGTTAAGGGCTTAGGGTTAGCAATTAAGGGTTTAGGGCTTAATATTGAGGCCTAAGTACATGCCAAAATATCCCTTTGGGTTCCTTATTCGTTATATATATATATATATATGTATATATATATATATATATATGTATAAGACCCTCCCCCCAACAGCATTGTTCGAACCATTAGCGCAGAATTGCTCGGTGGCATGTTGTCCCCTCTTTCCGTAATCCTTGAACCCCACAGCGTTTTACCCTAAACCCCTCAGCCCTACACCCCAAGCCCTAAACCCCGAACCCCTAAACCCCCAAAGCCCCTAAACCCCAAACCCCTAAACTCCTAAACCCTAAAACCGGGATCTACCCCCGAAAAGCCCTAAACCCCTAAACCCCCAAAGCCCCTAAACCCGAAAAGCCCCACAGTAAACCGAGCTGACGACCATGGACCTGCACATCTCTCAACCGTCACTCACCCCACTACATATGTTTTTAGGGTTTAGGGGTTTAGAGGTTTAGGTTTAGGTTTTAGGGTTTAGGGGTTTAGGGAGGGGAGCTTGAACGCATTTCGAGTACACTTACACCACAACCTCACGACAGGAATCCTTCCTACCGGTTTTTTTTTGTTCCAGCCCCGCCTCTGTCATGCCACTCTCAAGCCTTGCCACTGCGACCGTCTCGGCCGGTATCCTTATCGAAGTCACGAACAACACCACAACAGTCGTCAGTGCCGCAAGTTGTCATCAGAATCATCGGAAATTTACGACATGCTTGCATCCGTCGTCGCCGTCATAAACATCAACATTAACACCATATGCGTTAACGGTCGAACAGCTCATCAGCGCCGACAGCTTTAGGGTTTTAATCAGCTGCTCTTTGAGACTCGTCGCAGACGCTTCATCATGGCGGTCGTCATCGCCAACAACAACAACGACAAGATCAGCAGCGGGAGAACCAGCATCAGCAGCAGCAACTTCATGCTATCTTGGAAAATATCAACACGACCACCGACAATTGCCCTCATGGTCGTCATCATGATCGTCGGCGCAGCATCATACGGCTATTATCCACCTTTTCTGCGTCTTCGGAATCAACAACAACAGCATCACCATCATCATCAGTATCATTCATTGCAACAGCTTTCGCCCGAGTGAACGCGTAGTTAGTGAGTGGGTAGTCCACCTTCCTGGATGCACCTTCCCATCATCTTGCCTGCCCGGCACGTGCAGGAACGGTAGGAGGCGGCGAGCTTTGTCGCAACATCGGCAACTCGCCTGCAGTCCTCTGGGTTTCGGAGCTCTGGAGTGTGCGTCTTGGATACTTTCCAGGTTTGACTTCTACTATAAAAGTGTAATGTACTACTAGTAGTAGTAGTAGTAGTAGTAGTAGTAGTAGTAGTAGTAGTACTGTTTTACGAACATTATTATCATTCCTGTTTACCTTTACCAGTACTCGAAAGCAATTACGTTTTTTGCAGTACGTCTTCACCGCCGGGGGATTTAGGCCCTTAGGCATCAAGTTGCAACCTTGGAGTTGCACTCCTGATTGCTTTGATCCCCGCCATTCATGCTATTGATGATAAATGTCCAGCACTACCCATAATAAGGAATAGGGTCCTTAAGGTAGTCATCAACCGTAGGAGTCATATTTATTCTTTGTTTGGTCTTGTCATAAGAACTTTGCATGAGGTATTAAAATGCGCATCTTATGGTAGTAAAATTTTAGGCTGTTAAAACAGAAAAAAGTAGTCTGTTTTAGAAGGGAGTTTTAAACACAGTCTTCTTATTGTGGTTCTAACGGCACCGAGTCGCGAGCAAACAGTCGTCCTCACAAACCATCACGTTTCCCTTATGCCGTAAACTCGTAAAGCCCTTGACCCTGAGTTCCCGTCAGCCTGACATGTCGTATACATGTGTATATATATATATATATATATATATTCATTTATATATATATATATATATATATATATATGTCCCTAAGAAACCATAGAACCCTAAACCCTAAACCCTGGCTCTAAGGAGTCAGATGTTGAGGCTTTTGGGCCTATTTGCATCAGCCCCTAAGCCACAAGACCCCGACTTGTGCGCAAAGCCGCATAACCCTAACCCCTAGGCTCTAAGGACTCATATTTTAAGGCTGTCGGGCCCCAAGACCATACTAAACAAGGCTTTTGGGCTACTTCGAGCCTAGGGTAAGGGTCCATGTACCCAAATAGCAGAGACCTTTGCCCAATGCACCTATATAGGGAGTACGTCAAGGCCTGAGTATATAGTATTTGGGTACATGGAGCCTTAGAGTAAGACTGGTGAGACCCTACTTGAAGGATCATGGCACTCCGTAACTAGGGTTTAGGCCTCCTTGTAAGAGGTACTATGGTGTTCTGTAGTAGGGTTCCCTTTAAGGGTTCAGGGTTTTGGGTCGACCTGGGGGATCATGGGAGTTAGTAGCTGTGGTTATAAAAAAGGTAACTACACTGGTAGTTGCCTCCAATTAAGGTACTTATATCTCTACTGACTAAGTCCCGTCAACTTCCAAGTAGACGGATCTGCTAAACCCTAAACCCTAAAGACTAAAGATGCATTTGCTTTTGGTTTTGGGTTTAGAGTCGTGACCCCGGAAACCCTAAACCCCACAACCTTCGTGGAACCCATACTACTCAAGCCCTCAACACAATCTAGCCCCCTCCCCCCCCCTATAAGAAAAAATCCTAACCTGAGCCGCAACCCCAAACTCCCAAATTACCAAATTCCCTTCCTCCGTCGCACCCTACTTAGAGTTTCATGGGATTAAGTAAGTACAGTTATGAGTACCATCATTGGGGTTATAGTAATTATAAGTATAATTGCTTTACTTATAACCCTAGTTACTAAGTCCCATGGACCTCCAAGTAAACCGTACCAAATTCCCTTCCTATGTCGAGGTTTAGCTCAGACACATCGCGCAGATCTCGGGGAGGCCACGAAGGCTTTTGACGAGGCGCTTCGAGAGTTAGGGTGGGGTTTCTGCGAGGTTTAGAGTTTGAGGGGAATTACTGTCGAGTTGTAGAGGAGTGGTTGTTATAGGATTCTCACAGTTTTTGTTGTTTTTTACCAAAGGGCTTTTGCTTCCTGTTTATGACAGGACGGTTCTGTGCGGTGGGATGCAGCTTGAATAGCCAGTGCACACCCCGGACATGATTCCTGGGTGCGCAGACCTCAACTCTAGGTCGGAAGTTTGTCATCTTGACTGCTCAGCAGTACTAGGTAGGGCTTTGGAACATTTTATATTTTCTCTTATTCGGCTTAAAAGCATCTTACCTACTAATATTTTTCAAAGGCTTTAAAAGCCCCTCCTAGAGTTGCTCGATCTTGCATATGCCGTTGAAGCTGAGAAGACCACCTCGATGTGTTGGCTAAGTTTATGCTACAATGTGTGGCGTGCGCAGACTTAACTTGGTTGTCGTAGCTAGGGCCTTGTCCCGGATTTGCCATCTTGCTTGAACATCCGCTCCCAAGTTTTGCCACGGCCAGGCCATCGACATCTGCTACGACACCTGGCCCACATATATGAAGCATCATCACCCATAGTTTGCCCTAAACCTCTATAAGCCTTATACTCGAAACCCTTACGCCCAAACCCCTAAGCCCTAAAGCTCAAACCCTAAACCCCTAAGCCTTATAAACCCAAAACCCTAAATCCATAAGCCCGAAACCCAAACCGCTAATTCCCAAAGTATCAGCGGATTCGGAAGCTGCACGCCAGCCAGGTCCTTTCTTCCGAGTTCCTGGGTACTGCAATAGGGTCAAAACCCTAAACCCTAACTAAACCCGAAACCGCCCCAAAACCCTAAACCCTAACTTCTATAGAGGCTTACGGAATCTTAGGGAGTTGATGTCAGTCGGGTCTAGGGGTTGGGGTTTAGTTAACCCCAAATAGCCTACCTTTATGAGGACATATATAAAGCATTCATAGTAAGGAACCCGAAAAAGTTTCGTTTGGGGTCCAGGTAGGCCTCAGGGAGTTTATGTCATTTTTTGGGTGCAGTTCGTGTTTGCGGACTGGGGGGTCGACATGCATTTAAGGTTGGCCCCCTGAATGTCTGCGATACGGACTGGGGGGGGGGGCGGCAAGCGCCTGAATGCTTAGGAAAAGCATTCTGTAGAGTTCCCCGTGACAGTTCTGGTACCGCATCAATACTATAGAGGCCTTAATAATGACCTATACTATTTTTTGGGGGGCTTCCTTATTATAAATATAGTGTAATGGTTTCCCATTCGGCTTGGGTCTTCTGCGGGTCTCTTCTTTTGGTTGGGCAGTTCCAGGCTGAGCCTTGAGGGTGGGCTGCAACACTACAGTTGTGTGTACTACTTCTACTACTACTACTACGACGACGACGACTACAACTACTACTACTCCTGCTACTACTACTACTACTACTACTGCTACTACTACTACCACTACTACTACTACTACTACTACTACTACTACTACTACTACTACTACTACTACTGTCGCTGCTGCTACTAGTACCACCACCACTACTATATACTACAACTACAACTACAACGACTACTACTACTACTACTACTACCCTGGGCATCGGTTATTGATTCTAATCAATAATTCTGAAGGCGTATTGATTTTGGTGTCAAATCATATATTTTTTCATTGATTCGAAGCGCCTCAGCAGGAGACTCAAAACCAATATATAAATCAAACGAAAAAAGTATATATCTGAGCCATCAAATCAATATATTTTCATAGGTTAGGAAACGATCAAATCAACAGAAAAGCAAGCTTAAACATGAAGAGTTCGCACCTTTGTTTCTGCATGTCGCCTTTGAAGAGTATGCTCGCCTTCGTTTAAACCATATAGGGTGTAGGGTTAAACTTTCATGATGCAGGTGTAGGTCTTGGGCTAAGAGGACTGTAAGGTCTCTAAGCACACTGTATACATACAAGGCAGAGCAGCTGCCCAATTGTGAAACAGAGCTCACCTTTTCTCAAGGTCGGATCCTTTTAGCAAGGATCACGGGTCCGTGCAACATCCTTTGGGCAAGGATGTCAGAAGTCGTCCTTCATGGCAAAGCCGGGCTTTGAAAGGTGTAAATGAAGTAGGATTCTGTATTTCTGACAAAGCTTGTCTGATATTCTTGTTGCTTTGAGTCCAAACGACACAGAGTGCCCCAGCCTTGAAACTGCTCCAACAAAGTCCTCTGCACGAAAACACCAATGATACCTTGGGTTGAGAAAGAAAGCATCAAGCAGCATGTGATGCATGCTGTGCAGCTTCGAAACTTTGTTGAACAGTTTCTTGTCCAGAGACTTGGCCCACTCATGAAGGTCGTGATAGCTGTTGAAGAACCTTTTGTCAAGGTTCATGAGCTCCGCGTGCTCCTCGTCTGTGAGGAACATGCCACTCGTGTCAAACAGCTCACCGATCTCGCAGAAGCTCTGCAAACAATCGATCATGACCCCATGAATGTTGTCAGAGCCGTCTAAGAGGCTCCGAAGCACTCCAAGGACCACAGGAGCAAGATGCTTAAGTTCGGCTGCTTTGCATGCGAGTGCGGGATACTTCTTGTGCGGAGACCGGACGTCTGTAAACATTGAGATCCTCAGGTTTGTTAGCCGCACTTCCGTTTGGCTGGCTGTGTACATCTCCTGCACTTCGCGGAACACGATAGCGAGTCTGTCGGTGGCTGAGACTCTCTGTCGTCCTCGGCCATCGAAGAAGCACAAATAGTGGAAGATCGAGCCGAGGAGATGAGAGCCCACTCCATGGTTCCAGAGGACGTGAAGGGCGTCGTGTCGGACCAAGGTCGTGGAGACACCTGGTATTTTGAAAAGGCTGTGGGTTGAGCGGGGGTTTGCCAGAGCCTCGTCGGTGTTGACGTACTTGAACCTTTGGTCCTTTTCCCGAAGCAGCTTGACCGATTTGCCTTTTGCACAAGGCCTGCCCTTGTAGACTGGCTGCCTGCAGTCACAGCCAAAGCACGGTTTCTCGGACCGCCAGTGGGGCAGGCCGAGGCAGTTGCTGTAAAAGTCTGCATCCCCCTGTATGCACCAAAGGACCGCTCTGAAGCTGGTTCCCGGTATGAGCCTCTGCCCCGCCAGGTCTGCCATGGGGGACCCTTTTGGCAAGGGCCCCCCATCTGGTGCTGTTTCTGGATGTCTGCCTTTTGTCAAGGCAGCAAAAGACCACTGCACCCATTTCTCCACAGGCGTCCACGTCTCTTTCGCTGTGCATGACTTCGGCCATGAGCACAGCAAAAGGTGGGTGTCAGTGCTGGAAAACACCGAAGCTAGCACCCCACCCCAGCTCCAGACCATCAAACTGTCGCGACACTGAAACTCAACAGCGTCCCCGTGAAAGAAAAGGGGAATGGTCCATTTCTTGTCCTTGACCTTTTTGCCAAAGGCCAGAGGAGCGACGAGTCTGTGGTCTTGCTTCTTTTCAACTTGCTGCCAAAAGCAGGCAAGCTCGTCTGCCCCGAAGAGTTGTCTGAATTGTTCTCGGTAGTTGTTGCCCAAGTCTGCGAAGAGCAAGTGGGGAAGGAACAAATGGCACGTTGCTGATACAGGCTTTGTGGTTTTGGGGTCTCTCGCTTTCACATTGATGGCGAGGGGCTGGCACAGCTGCACTTGGGGACAAAATTTTGTCAAAATGTCCCTTGTTGAATTGCCAGGGTTTTCTCCGAACGTGCCCGCTCGGGCCAAGTCCATCAAGCCCTCCCCACTGGCTCCGTCGAGCATCGCAAGTCGACTCAGCTCGGCCACGAGGTGAGCTGACAAGAGACCATGTGACCAGAGCTGTAACAGTCGCTCGCACAGGGCACTGTCGCGGGCTTCCTCTGCCTTTTGACAAGGCTGCCCATCTGCTTTCTCCATTTCCCATTGCCATCCTCGAAGCCTCTTTGTTTTGGGCCCATCACGAGACGAGCTTGCAGCCATGATCCTTTTGACAAGGAGCAAGCCCAAACCATGGCATCTCTACAAAATTCTACTATATGTAGTGATGACAACTATACGACTCCCTTCCAAGTTTCATTGCTAAGATTAGAAACACACGACATGAGAAAGGCATGTATAAGGTAAATTTGTACACAGTTTACACACTGTGCACATACATAACTGCTTGTGTTAGTCTACACATACACACAACCATTATCACTTATTCTCTACATCTACACACCCAAGTTTAAGCGGGCTCTTGCCGGCTAAGATTTGTCCCACATCATCAACACGATAGTGATCAAGCTGAGTTTCAAGCTTGGTGCGAAAGAAAGTACCTCATTCCGGAAAGCTTTGCAAATGCCTCCTTCATCTTTTTCCGCTGAGTGCAGCTGCCGGGTTCCAAAACTTCAAGCCCTAGGTGTTGTTCTGCTTGTTTCTTTAGCACGTGGGGGGGCTTGAAGTTTGAAGCGACGGCCTTCCTGGGAGGGACAGTAAAACTAAAGCTAGTGTTTGGCCTCAGGGCTTTCAGGGGTTCAGCTTGCAGTTTCCGCGCTTTTGCTGCGAGACTGGCTTTCGGGGTTTAGGGTTTAGGGTAGCGCTTTAAACTGTGTTTCCGGCACACCGGGTGGCTTGAAAAACTACGAGTGAAAAGAAGCCCCTCACCAAGGTCAGAAGCACCTTTTTACAAGGTGCTGAAACCTTGTGGCAAAACTTGCCAGCGAGTTTTGGCTGGACCTTTTAGCAAGGTCGCAAAGGCCGCCTTTGATGAAAGAAGGGGCGACCTACCAGGCACCTTTTATAGCCCAAGGTGCCTGTGGCAGATCCTTTGTTCAAGGATCCACCCTGAAGCCTGAAGCTCTCACTTCCGGGAGCCTCTGCTGTTGGTGGAGGCCGCCTTGTTGGCCAGCTGCCTTAGCTCCCGAGTTTCGCTCCGGGCCTTTTTTACTTTCTCAGCACCCTGCAGGATGACTTGCTTAGCCTCTTCCCAATCCGGAGTCTTCTTCATGAGTAGGGCCTTCAGCTGCTCCTGCACGACCCGGCAGCTGTCCTTGAGCTCCAGGGCCTCGTCTTTGCCGGTCTTGGTGAGTCGCTTGGCAGTGCAAGCCTCCTTGAAGGCCTGGTCCAGATCGTCCACCGCCGCCTGCAGAGTGTTTCGGCAGGTCCGGGCCTTTGCCAGCACCTTGGAAGTGTCAGGGGCGACTTCCTGGCCTTCGGCAGTCCCATCCTCCAAAGCCAGAAGCTGGTTGCCTCCTTTTCCTTTTGTCAAGGACTTCCCCTTGCCGGCACTTTTGCCTTTGGCAGCGACGGTGCCCTTGCTCCCCCAGTGCTCTGTGTTGGTGAGCTGGGTCTGCAAGTCCATGCCGAAAAACTTGGCGAACTCTTCGAGATCGTCATCCTCGGCATTCCTTTCTTGGCCCATGGTCCAGGCTTTGGAAGTCTTCACAGTGGTGGTCCGCTGAACATCGCCACGGTCGGTGTACTGGTACACCGACGGAGTGAAGGGGTCCTGCCTCCAGCCCAGCCGTCCTGACTGGACATGGAGCTGGAACTCCTCCCATCCGAAGCGGTCGATGGCGATTTTCTCTGAGAA